CTAATGAAGTCACAAATGTCTACTCATCGTAATCCCTGGTTTATCAAGCCAGCATTACCGCGTCCCGCTTTCCACTCCTTCAAAATTAATTTTATCAACATATTTCACAATGCTCCGTAAAAGGTGTTGTAATCTATGGTCATTCTTAATACACTTTTAGCACAGTAGGTATTCTTTCTTTTGTTCTGCCCATCTGAGATATGCATGTATTAGGTTCACAGGCTACCATGCTTACTTTTCCAATTCTAAAAATATATATAGGTCACCTATTGAAGTGCAAGTTCCAACATCACTATTTTGTTTGATTACTATAGTTTGTTCCATTCACTTGAGTGCATGACGAGTCATTTAAAGCAACACCAATTACTATTTGAAGAGAATTGTCTTTGTAATTAGATTAAAAATAATAAAACTGGCAACATAAAGTCTTTGTTTGGTACCTCTAAAATAACCCGAATTGATGTTTGTACTTTTTCGGATACAATAACTTAAAAAGCAGAACAATTATCTGAATGTGTACCTGTCCATTGTTGGATTTTACCATCTAAAATATTAAGTCTCTGATTTTCTATATCAGTTGTTTTCACATTTTTTCATTAAAAGTGTTGGTCAATGATGCCTTGGGAATGTGAGTTTTGCTACTTGTAACCCAAAACACTTTCATATGTTTGTATAATGCTGACAGCATGATCTATAGTACTACAGTTTGTTTCGATGCACTTATACTGAAGCTCAGGACACAGGTTATTGTACAATTTATCTAAAGCCATTCGCTCCTGTGCATTGTAACTCAGATCAGAATATGCTTTGCGTGCATGTTCGGAGAGAGCATCTGCAAAAGACGCAATAGATTCTGTTGGACCTCGTTTTCTTGCTTTCAGAGAAGATACCCACACTTGTTGGTCATACTTGTTAGTAAATCTATTTCGCAAGGCTTCAACCAGGCTGCGATAGCTTGATTTAATGTCAGTAGGAAGTCTTGAAATAAAAACTTGTGCTCTTCCCGTCAGACAGGGCTTTAAGGCTAAATTCATGCTATGTAAGTCCCAGCATCCTAATTCAGCATATATTTCAAAATGATCTATGAATTCTTCAAAATTTTCATCTCCACTAAATGATTTAAGTTAAATGTTTGGCCCTCTTGGCAACATCTTCCTGGAAAGTCCATTACGTCTGTCATGGTGTTTCGTCCACCTTGATGGTCTACCCCTTGGAGGGGGACTTCGGTCTTGACCTGCGAGCGGTTCTTCATCATTTGTGTCATACTCATCCAATGGAGAATCAGCTCTTTCAGTTTCAATATGAGGATGTGGCTCTTCATAGCCCTGCCTTTCATCATTCAAAGCTCTGTTGTTATTATTCTGACAAAATTCTATTTCAGAATCTGAATAGTCTCCCATAATTTATGTTAATCCAAATGTAAATACTGTTTAAATCTCTGTTTGCTGTTAGTCATAGATATAAGAGTACAGTTTATTCAAGGAATATAATAATGTCGCTGTCAGTTCATTTGTATGTTCCTCAGTAATAAAATTTTCTTCACAAGTTGAAATGTTATTATTTTTTTTTTTTTTTTTTGATGGATGGATGGATGAGATGCACTTGTCTGGTCCGTTTTATAGGATGGTAAATAATTTAGACCATCCCACTTCTGACACCATTGTAAACGTATGTCAGGATGGGGAAAATAAATACAATTCTTATACAGTTTTCTAAGTTTATAACAAGTATTTCGGCAACAACAGTGTCTAGTGAGTTACTAATATTGGATTTAAATACATACAAACTTACAAGTTTGGATAACAATGTCGTTTGTAAGATGTTTACTGAATTTGAACTTTGGCGGTTTTACAACTTATTTACATTACTTGGAGGTCAAGACCGAAGTGACAACATTGGTTGGATTCCGAACTTTTATAAGGTTCGATGTTTGAAATCCACCAATGAAACAACAGAAATCCGAAAATCCTCCAATGGACAGACGGCCGGATTTCTGAATCTGAAATCTTGGATTTCAATGGCGGCCATATTGAAATCTCATATAAAATCTACATACGAAAATCATTAATATACAGAAACATGTAGTGAATATTTAAGGATTTCTGACCTTAATCAATCATAAACTTTACATAAATTACGTTCTTGAATTGAATTCGACTGAAATTTACATTAATAATAAGAAATCTTAAATACAAAATATGAAGTGACGGATTTCAAACATATCTGTCATTCGACGTCTGCTACACTAAAATGTAAAGAGAAAATCAGTTTTCTGCTATACATAAAAGGTAAGTTTAACATTTCTATCAGCTTAAATTGCAAAGTCAATAAGTGTTAATACAGTGTTCCTTCAGATCAATCAGGTAAGTGAATCTTTATCTTGTAGAAGTCAACAATAGATGAAGCTAAAGGATTTCACAATGTCACATGGATTTCATTAAAAGTTCTGTTGTAAGTACATTTCAGAATAATGCTAGAATGTCAGATCCTTACAGTACCTTTAGATATACTGTTTGCATTCATTATCGATATTGTAATATGATTGTAACAGACAGGGTTATCTGTTTTAGAATCATTCAAAGAATTTTCATATATTATACAGAAACGATCAGTAAATGAAAGAAGTATTACAAGAGGGCCATGATGGCCCTGAAGTCGCTCACCTGTATATAGCCCCCCCCCCCCCCCCCCCGGGCCAATTTTTACCCAAGGGCTTTTATTTGTTTATTTGAAACCCATAAGAAGATGTTTCATGCTAAACATCTAAGTTCTAGCTCATTGGGTTCTTTAAAAGAAGATTTTTTAAGTTTTTACTATATGCATATAGGGAAAATGTATGACCCCCTGGGGCGGGGTCAATTTTGACCCCAGGGCTTTTATTTGAACAAACTTAGTAGACATTCACTAGAAGATGTTTCATGCCAAATATCTAAGCTCTAGCTCTTATGGTTCATTAAAAGAAGATTTTTTAAGATTTTAGTATATGCATATAGGGAAAATCAATGACCCCCCGGGGTGGGGCCAATTTTGACCACAGGGCTTTAATTTGAACAAACTTGGTAGACACTCACTAGAAGATGTTTCATGCTTAATATCTTAGCTCTAGCTCTTTGGGTTCTTTAAAAGAAGATTTTTTAAGTTTTTACTATATGCATATAGGGAAAATCAATGACCCCCTGGGGCGGGGCCAATTTTGACCCCAGGGCTTTTATTTGAACAAACTTGGTAGACATTCACTAGAAGATGTTTCATGCCTAATATCTAAGCTCTAGCTCTTACGGTTCTTTAAAAGAAGATTTTTTAAGTTTTTACTATATGCATATAGGGAAAATCAATGACCCCCGGGGCGGGGCCAATTTTGACCCCAGGGCTTTTATTTGAACAAACTTGGTAGACACTCACTAGAAGATGTTTCATGCCAAATATCTTAGCTCTAGCTCTTTGGTTCTTTAAAAGAAGATTTTTTAAGTTTTTACTATATGCATATAGGGAAAATCAATGACCCCCTGGGGCGGGGCCATTTTTAACCCCAGGGCTTTTATTTGAACAAACTTGGTAGACACTCACTAGAAGATGTTTCATGCCAAATATCTAAGCTCTAGCTCTTAGGGTTGTTTAAAAGAAGATATTTAAAGATTTTTCTTTTGGTTGCCATGGCAACCAGAGTTCTGCATGGAATTAAATTCTTTGAACAATTTTTAAAGGTGACCACCAAAGGAACATTCCTGTGAAGTTTGGATGAAATTGGCTCAGTTGTTTATGAGGAGATGTCATTTAAAGCAAAAGTTTACGGACGGACGACGGACGGACGACGGACGAAAAGCGATCACAAAAGCTCACCCTGTCACTTTGTGACAGGTGAGCTAAAAGTGTATTGTATGTGTGTATCTTTTACAGTGCTGTATAAAAAGTCTGTAATGGAAGAGCAGATGATAAACGAGCACGTGTATTATGGTCTCACCCAAAACATTTATTCTTAATTTAGCTGTCTACAGCTTGGAAAAGAAATAATTGTGTTTGTTGCTTTAAATGTCTGCATCCATAGACATAGTTTTATATAAGTCAACTTTCAAATGCGTGGAAATTGATATCAATGGTAACTGGTGAAAGGGGACGTATATGGTATATTAATAACAGTCCATATATTGTGTTATAACCAACAATTTGGAAAGTTTTTATTGGAAAAGGTTAAGATAAAAATCATGTTCTGGAATTGAGAAGTTGAAAATAACTTAAATCTAATGGGTTATTTTAGAGCCAAATATCTCTTACATATTTTCTTTTAAGAATTTTGTCATTGGAAATGTAATTGATTAGAAAATTAAGACAAATATTCAAAACACTTATTTCTTCAACACAGCTGTTTGAAAATATGAAGTTATGTTAGTGAAGTCGATTCGGATCACTTATTTTGAATATGTGATAATGAATATATTTAATATTTATGACCTGCCCCTGTTATAGTCAAGTGCACAACAGATGAAAATATCTTCTTATACATTGATGTTGTTCAGAACAATGTCGATAGTTATAAATATTTTGGAACAATAAAGTAACGATTGACTGATTGTTTCCAAGATTTCATAAAATGAGCATTTGTTAAAGTGGCTACGAGTTGAAAACTAAACCAAGAATAATTCCATTACCAGGCAATTAGGTTCGAGTCAGACAGATTGTTCAATTACTGTTGGAAGAAAAACTTGGCAGATATTCGGTCATTGATATCAAATGGATTATTTAATTAAATATCAACTGCATATCTGAAATATTCCCAGACAAATTGCGTATAATTCTCAGTTCTAACAATATTAGTTTTCCTTTGATGCAAAAAATGAAATTGCTGCCGTTGACATTGCGGTCATGAGTTGTAGGGAAAACTGGATATCGGGATAGCAAGAAATTGCTAATATTCATTTAAATTAGAATATGTATTACCTGAGAATCAGTTGTCATCTACAACGTAGCTCTTTGTATTTTGTAATATAAAAGAGAAAACAACAGTCAATAAAAACTATTTATTTTTTTAAAAAAGTAAACGATCTATGAAAAAAATAAGTATCTGTAAATGTTCTTTACATAAGGTGAAGCATCATTTAATAACAATAAAACATGATAAATAAATACATAACAAATGCGGATATATAGAAAACAGAACATGTATATTCCTAAATTTTGTATGTAATTTTTTCAGACACGAAAATATTCGAGTAAAGAAAACAAAACATGGTTATTTCTTAAAGAAATTTAACGTTTCTCAGACTGGTATTTGTTTAAAATCACTAACACGTGTTTGGGTTTGTTTTCTTTACGTAATGAGACCTTGGCCTACCACATAACAATGCTCCTTTATAGAAAAATAGATAATGCAAAAGAAGAGAAGAAGAGACAACAAGGCAATAATGCGAATGATTAACAAGAACAGGCTTTGTTTCCATTTTGAACATATGAAACAAACGTAAAAGAAAACCAGACATGTACATTATTCTTACCGACCAAACCCCATCTCATTCAAATATAATTGCACGATCTGGACAGATATTACTAATTATTGTAAACGATAGCATTGGATCACTTTGTCACATACTTTAAGATAGGCATGTGACAATAATTCATACAATGTGTTTCGGCTCTATTATTTCTTCAATGTACAGACAGGACATACATAATCAGGTTTGATGTTTTCAAAATCCTTTAAAATAATATTTGCTTATATTATATAAAAGACAACTTGTACACAATAATAACACAATACTAATAAATGCTTCACTATTACAAAGGTAAAAAAATTTACTTAATAAGTAAATCTAAAATGAGATATTTGCGTGGTGAAAAGTTTTAATATACATGTATGTAGTTATTAACACAAATATAAATACATTTAATAATAATACAAATTTTGAAATGATAAACAAATCGTTTTAAATGTACTAAAACACTTCTGTTAAGCATATATGACCTAAAATAACAACTTCCAAAACCTCAACAGAAATATGTAGAATTATATACCTTTTATAAAATATAATCAAGAAATCACAGTATGCTCATATGGATAAATAAGAAATACAGCGACAATATATATAATATTATGTAAAACATTATTTTAACAAAGTGCATTGTAAAAAGAATACAAATCAAAAAGAAAATATAAACAAATAAATAATTTGTTACTAAGTAACATGTATAACAAATACCAACTTATGTATGATTTAGAAAACGGACGTCTTATAATATACAACTTATATCACAGATCCATTACAATACATGCATTTACTTATATATATTGAATGACACAAAAAAGAAAGAATGAAATAGGCCAGTAAATTTAAAGATTAACCTAGAACTTATTGCAACAGAATTTTTATCAACACCTCACGAAAGAAAACAAAAATATACAAATCATCAACATTTTAACTAACACCGGAAGACAGCATTGAAAAAAAGTAAAAAGTAAAAGTTAACAACCTCGCTTTATAACTGGCATGTTTTCAAAATATGGGTTAACTGTTTATCCGACAAATTAACGAAATACATTAGTACAGTTCTAAAATTAGTAATAAATCAAAACAAACGCCAATACCTTCTGAATATAAAAAAATTATCTTCTCATAAAACACTATGTAAGTTATAAAATACCTTCACAAGTCAAGGAATGCATGATTATTACTCAGTACTTTGCCAGCTTACCTTATTTTGTAAATAAAGTTCTATGGTTCAATATAAACTGTAAATCAAATATGCTAATAATTTTATAAGATGACTAATGACTAATTCCTGAAATCCCCTTTTTTAAATTCTAATACATAACACTAAAGCATTCACAAATTCCACATGTTCAGTTATCCACATTCATAAAGTCCACTGTTCAATTATCCACATTTACAAATTCCACGTGTTCAATTAACCACATTCACAAATCCCAAGTGTTAGGTTATCCACATTCACAAATCCCATGTGTTCAGTTATCCAGCTGGCAGAGGCAAGCAACACCGCGGTTAATCCAGTGATTTTCAGGCTTTTTCGTTGGAAGTTTAATGTTCATCACCCAGTTTGTAGAGTGTCCGGTTGTTGATAAAACTCCACGTCTAGCACTTGTTTTATAAACTACAATACAAAGAGATAATGAGATTCTTTTTACAAAAAAGTATGCATTGACAATTTTCTTAATAAGATGCATGTTATTGCATGTAACTGTTTTCATTTATCATATTCAACTATTCCAATTGAATCTTTCGTTTAATAGCCTTTAACATTTCTCAGCCAAATGAAATGTTAAAAGGAAAATGCAAATAAAATACATGTACATAGGTCTTTTCATACCATAATATCATCAAAAGAAAATTTAGTTGCAAGAGAACCAAAGTGTAAAAAGTTTTATAGTATGAATATAACAAACATACGTTACTGATGTGCGAGATAACCTCTTCATGTTACCTTATTGTGTATATAATCATTCCCCTTGTAAATGTCATTGAAAATGGCATTAAGGCCGGATAAATTTCTACAGCAATAAAAAAAATAACATTTGATGAAAATCGTGTTTTCTAAGTTAAAAGACAAAATGTTTGCCTTTCGAATGGAACTATCAGTTGATTGTAAAATTTAAAAAAAAGATTGATATCAGAAAAAATAACAAATAAGAAGTCTTACTTGGACAGCTGTATTCTTCTTTTTGTTCGAACTCGGCAGATTTTCCTGGTTTCAACCATATCTAAATTGTTGTTAAAGTTCATTACCTTATACTTATCTAGCAAATTATGTTTTGTAAAGGTTTCCGATAGAATAAGGTCTTACTGAATATTTAGTTTTGTTTGAAAACTTCAAGTATGTAACAAGTGACAGGAACTTGCCTCCAAAAACAAGAGATTTTGCCAATGATAGGAAGAAACAAACGACGATCAATCTATAAACAAAACACCGGATCACAAGTACACACCGACATGGATAAGGCTAAATGGTCATTTTCCAGCCAATCTTGTAGAAAAAGTCCTTAGATGTTCCGCCCTGCATTATTTTAGGCACAAGCTAAAACACAACCTGTAAGTTAGCTAAGTTAGCTGGATAATTCCCCACCTCTTATGACAATTATTCTTGTTAAAGTAATTTGAGAATGACCCGTTTTAATGTTTAGGCTAAGCTACAAGTTCGCTTCTCAGTCAGTTAAATTTCAACAAATTTATAACAATTCCATTGAAATACATGTACATATTCAGTATATAAACTTTTCTAGAATTTTAAACCCTTTTAACCCTTAGTTGTGATAACAAACAATCATATAACATTAAAGTAATCTTTATCATGTGATTCTACTTGGAAAAATAAAGCCCTTTTATCCTTAGCTTTGAATTCAATTAATCATAAAATTCAAATGCATATTCTTATTACCACAGTACACCATTCTCATCAATCGGCAATTTGCCTATCAATTGCAAAATCGCTTAAGCAAACCAATAAAAGATGAAAAGGAAACCAGTTTTGTCAAATAATCCCAGATAAAAGTGTACTTCAAAAGATGCCTTAACATTTATAAGACTTGTCAATTTTAAGCTTCACAGAAAATCAATGATCAACTTCATAAATGGAGACTGAAAAGAATGTTAAAATACTTAAAGAAGCGAGTTGAATATTATAAAAACTTTTGAAATGAATGACATTTTGCAACCTACCGTATTTCAAAGTGTCAAAACATTTTAAATTTTTATCAAGATAAATGAATACGGTCCTGTTAACACAGTTATCAGAATTATGTGATTCTATAAAAGTATCAGCACATATTTTGTAAAAATTTCAAGGATACAATTGGCACTGTCTCGTACAGAATCTTAGGATGAGACTCTTCTATACATTTCTGTATTCTATCCCACCTTGCTCCCTCCATGAATATACCACGAATATATGCACCATTACTCTGAAAATAAAATAAAAATATAAACACAATATACAAAAGTAAAATAAAGTAATTTGGCTTAGCTTATTCAACGTCGGCAATGGTTAAAACAGGCTACAACCGACTGAGTTAGATATTAAAATTCCTAAATGTTTATGGTGTTATTTAGAAATAAGAATATGTGCAATGCTTTCAAAGCTATATACTGAATAAAATAGGTAGACAATCAAGAACCAGTTGAATAAATGTGTTTACCGGTTTCTGAGGCATTGAAGTATCATGAGTCATCACTTCAAATTCGAACCCAAGATGGTCTATTGGAATTTGGAATCGTCTGGCGTAGTTTTGAAGAACACCAGTCAAGAAGGACTGTGTGAAATAGAAGCCTGATATCCACATCACCACAGGGCTTCCTGTACAGTAAGGATATAAATTTGTAAATATATTTGTCTGGTATTTGTTATAACATCTTATACCAGTATTGCTTATACTTCTTCAATTTGATTTCTGTGACAAAACATTTTGATACGAGGCTATAATCTACATGTATATATTTATGTTCAATATTGCTGAACTTATAGTTATACTTTATCATTGCATTATTATCGTTTAATGGAAAGAATACTTATCAAAGATATCATAATGATTCAACTTTTATTTGCTTTGTTTGAAATTCTATTACAATTTCTTTTTTGAAAATGAAAATAAATCGTAAGAAAAAAGCATTTCGAATCATGGCAGTTTACATTGAGAGAAGTGCAAATAGGTCACCTGAGAAAACCCATTCCTTGAAGAATTGCAACCTCGATAGAAGATCAGTAATGTAGCTACCAAGTGGTTTCAGAGACGGATATGACTTTGCAGCCCACATTGCAGGTACCTGAACATTAAAGTAGGTATTGATTTAATGTAATTATATAGTTAATAAGCAATCTTTATATATTTTCACGTTTTCTACTTTATAAATACAAGTAACAATAAAATTACTATGAAAGAGATTTCGAAACCTGCCATACCTGAATATTATCAATATTTATTATATGTTTTATTTTGTAAGCCTACCTGGAAAGATGGTTATTACTTAAAAAAAGTAGATTAGTTCATGAAAAATATTTATTAACTTGAAATAGGTAAACTTAATATCCACTATGTTACAAAATGCTCATCCACTATTTTACAAAGTGCTTAATCATAGAAATTCTTTGTTGAATTAGTAATCAGTTTTTGCCGAAATAAACAAAATATAATAGAATAGTCCGCAAAAGGAGACATGATTTGTTAATAAGTTATGAAAAAAAAGGATTCAATAAAATTACTAGTTACCTTGCCAACCATCATACTATCAAACATGTCTTCTAGTTCGGAGGACATCAGTACCAAACCTTTGATAGCTTTCCTTATGTCCTGCAGACTTGAACGTACAATCTGTATCAGGCGATTGAACCTGATCAATTCCTGCACCAATACAGTATTCATCGACTCCTCATATCTAACTGGATACTTTGTCTGAAAGAAACAGTATTTTTCTTGCCATGCAAAACAAACTTTTTAACTCACAGGAATGGGAATGTGTTTTTCCAGGATAAACCATTCATTTTATTGTATATATAACTTTCAATTTGTTTGTTGTAATCAACACTTCTTAACCCTTTACCACATATATACGCGAAACAACGCACTTTCGACCCCCCCCCCCCCCTTTTTTAGGCCTCGTATAGTGAAAAAATGTCCTATTTGGGCACCAAACATAAGTTTTCGTTTGAGAAATGTTGCTTAAAAAATTGAACACTTTTTCGGCGCCGCCCCCCATCCAAAAGATACATCAGGGGGTTGTCAGAAGGGGGATGTGCACCCTTCTGTTAGGGGGGGTTTGAAGGGGGGCGGAGTCCCCCTCATCGCCAAGAAAATTTTGGACTTGTGAGAGGCTAAAAATGACCCCAGGTCGATCATAATGTAACGTTTAACCAACGCTGAAAAGCCTTTGACTCTATCTCAATCCCTTGAGCAGTTGCAGCACTTTGAAATAAATTTTGATGGGAAAAATCGAGGCAAAATAGTGATTTTTGGCAATTTTGAGATGTCCCCTCGTTGCCATGGTAACATGAAATTTAAGACTGAGCATGTCGTTACAAAGTCAATGGTCCAGTCAACATTTGTGCCAAGTTTGATTAGTATTGAAGCATTTTTCATAGTTTCATAGCAGTTTGAACTTGTAACAGGAGGCTTTTCAGTGAAACCGGCCATTTTTCACAATATGCTCATGGGGGAAAGGGTTAACTAAAAAAATTATAAATGTTACAAAACAACAATTTTTCACCAAAATTAGGTGAAATACGACATGTTAACATGGAAAAACTAGTTTTTAGGTGATTCCAAAGTTTTTCATCATTTTTTGTTAACCCTTTACCACATATATACGCGAAACAACGCACTTTCGACCCCCCCCCCCCTTTTTTAGGCCTCATATAGTGAAAAAATGTCCTATTTGGGCACCAAACATAAGTTTTCGTTTGAGAAATGTTGCTTAAAAAATTGAACACTTTTTCGGCGCCGCCCCCCATCCAAAAGATACATCAGGGGGTTGTCAGAAGGGGGATGTGCCCCCTTCTGTTAGGGGGGTTTGAAGGGGGGCGGAGTCCCCCTCATCGCCAAGAAAATTTTGGACTTGTGAGAGGCTAAAAATGACCCCAGGTCAATCATAATGTAACGTTTAACCAACGCTGAAAAGCTTTTGACTCTATCTCAATCCCTTGAGCAGTTGCAGCACTTTGAAATAAATTTTGATGGGAAAAATCGAGGCAAAATAGTGATTTTTGGCAATTTTGAGATGTCCCCTCGTTGCCATGGTAACATGAAATTTAAGACTGAGCATGTCGTTACAAAGTCAATGGTCCAGTCAACATTTGTGCCAAGTTTGATTAGTATTGAAGCATTTTTCATAGTTTCATAGCAGTTTGAACTTGTAACAGGAGGCTTTTCAGTGAAACCGGCCATTTTTCACAATATGCTCATGGGGGAAAGGGTTAACTAAAAAAATTATAAATGTTACAAAACAACAATTTTTCACCAAAATTAGGTGAAATACGACATGTTAACATGGAAAAACTAGTTTTTAGGTGATTCAAAGTTTTTCATCATTTTTTGTTAACCCTTTACCACATATATACGCGAAACAACGCACTTTCGACCTCCCCCCCCTTTTTTAGGCCTCAATAGTGAAAAAATGTCCTATTTGGGCACAAAACATAAGTTTTCGTTTGAGAAATGTTGCTTAAAAAATTGAGCACTTTTTCGGCGCCACCCCCCATCCAAAAGATACATCAGGGGGTTGCCAGAAGGGGGATGTGCCCCCTTCTGTTAGGGGGTTTTGAAGGGGGGCGGAGTCCCCCTCATCGCCAAGAAAATTTTGGACTTGTGAGAGGCTAAAAATGACCCCAGGTCAATCATAATGTAACGTTTAACCAACGCTGAAAAGCTTTTGACTCTATCTCAATCCCTTGAGCAGTTGCAGCACTTTGAAATAAATTTTGATGGGAAAAATCGAGGCAAAATAGTGATTTTTGGCAATTTTGAGATGTCCCCTCGTTGCCATGGTAACATGAAATTTAAGACTGAGCATGTCGTTACAAAGTCAATGGTCCAGTCAACATTTGTGCCAAGTTTGATTAGTATTGAAGCATTTTTCATAGTTTCATAGCAGTTTGAACTTGTAACAGGAGGCTTTTCAGTGAAACCGGCCATTTTTCACAATATGCTCATGGGGGAAAGGGTTAACACTGCCTTTATCGTTTTATAGTGTTCAATTATATCTTGCTTTTGATTATGTAATTATTTGAATTAAGAATAATGACTTTGTAAATAAATCAAATTTCCCCACAAGATTTTAATGCGCTTTTGATGATAAAATTTAATTAGGGAATCAATGCCTCGCGCATTGATGGCCTCTCAAGGAGACAGACAATTCAAATTGCAAAACATAACAAACCTAAGTGAGTATTCTCCCTTAGTATTTCATGTAAACACTAAAACACTTTAAAACTAAAATAGGCACATAGTATGAATATCATATCAAGCTTAAATAATTACCTGAATTTCTTCCAAGTTAAAGTCAGGGGGAATCTTTGTAAGAATGTCACTTGCAAGTTCCTCGATCACATCCTGTGACGACTTTCCACCACCACTTAACTATTGAACAAATTAAATATAAAATTTTACTAGCTTAATTATATATTTTTTATTATAAATTTAATTATAACGAATTATCCGCTAAAAGCTGTTTTAGCAAAATATTTCTATTAATAGCTCATCTAGAGTAATATCAATTAAAAACATAGCATGCCTCTAAACTACCTAAAAATTTCTTAATGCAACTACTAATGTAGCATACATCAGGCAAAATAAAGAAGGGAATAAATTCTGAATATAAAAATCTAATTGTAAGCAAACTTTTAAATTCCTCATTATTGAAGTATACAAAGTCAATAAAATTTAATATTACGAACAGTATGCCGATGACATTACTATGCCAGCCAAACTTAAACATTTTATGATACTTTTTTCAAATTTTACGATGGTTTGACCTAACAAGTAAATAAACTGATCTAAGTCAAATCACATCTAATAAATAATATATGAATGTGGGGGGTATGGGTTGAGGAGGGGTGTTGAGAAATGATACAATACAGTGTGACACAGTGTAAAAGCAATGTGTATTAAGTATAGAGGTATACGTTTTGAGGTATATATATGTTTATGTATTCGTTTAGTAAGTTTACATCTTTATTTGCTGACATACATTTTTCAAATCGATAGGTGAAGGGGAATACACAATAATTATTCAATGCAGACATGTACCAATGCTAAAATGTAGAACTGGTGCTGTAAACTTCTCATTATAGGGGGAAAAAAGGCGAAACTAGATAAAACAGATTTTTATTGATCATAAAGAAAAAATATTTCTTGAGTAGAAAGACATGGAAAAAATATGGGTGCCAAGTTAACAAAAAAAATTGGAAATCAAAGTAAAAACCAAGCAACTACAAATAACATACAGTCAAAAGAATGCAATTTTTTGTATCTGCTGAAATATTGCTATATTAGCCATAAATCTTTTATGTAGTTATTTAGCATAACTTTCATATAAGCTATGTGTTTAATAACTATAAGTTATTTCTACATAAACATATGTACGGACCTAACCTTAAAATTGTACACATCAGCATGTATAAACATTTTGTTGTATGTGACATGCATTATATGTATAACTAGGTGTTTACACAATAATACATACAAAATATATCAGGAAGTCTATTACAGTTCAACAAAGCAACCAAACAAAAGCTTAAAAATAGCCATAAATCCACATCATGCTTTACATAAGCAAAACGTTTTAATTACTACATTTGTACATAAGCAAACAACAACACATTCCATCCAGGTTGTCAAGGCATTTGCTAAAACCTTATAGTCAAACAAGTAGTCAATCCTCCATTCATGTCAAACTGAAGTACATCAATATATACAAGGAAAATCAAGAACAAGCAGCTTGTATGTGTATATGATATAAGGCTGTGACTGTCCGTGCCAATTTAATTGATTTATAGGTACATTCAAATCATTCACTTGTTCTAAGCAATATAAAAAACTACTTATGCCATAACAATTATTGGAGGACACAAAGCACGCCGATCTTACTTAGTTTCTTCAACTTCCGACGATATTAAATATTTTACAATATGAAGTAATCTGTGTATGTTCTCAACTACTTAAGGATAAATAAATTTAAGAATATCAAGAAAAGTTTATTAAGTCTACCGGGTAAAAACAGTTTTTGTCAAAAGAAAATCCTAAATTCATCAGGAGTCGATTGTATTAACAATTTAATCGCCACAAATCAATTTTAGGGCGTGGTTACCGCATGGTTACAGTTACCAGCCCGGTAACATTGCGGTAAGTCATGATTCTTTCTCAAGAATTATATAAATTTTGAATTGGTTTTGGATTGATGCTTAGAACATGTGACTATAAATAGAAGTGGTGCCATAAGATTGCAGCAATGACATATTTGATCATGCATTCATCGACTACATAATAAACTGCATGCATAATATAAAGTACTTTTCTGAAAACTGAGCTATTTTCGGTAATTTTTGCAGCATTGTATATGCTCCAACTGTCACTCTGCTTCGGCTGAAACAAATTGTTAATGGTAAAGCATCTATGCAGTAATAATTAGGTAACTTCCTTGCTCATTTACTGGTTATTTCTTATTTAATATTGGTTATCTTAATACCTCGGAATAATAATTTTGAAAATGCATTTGACATCTAACATCAATTCTCTGCAGTCATAAAATGAATAGAGAAACTGACTGCAAAGGATAAGTTTTACAAAATAAGGAGAGAGAGACATTTCCTAGATATCTACACAAAATATCAAATCTAACTAAAAATTTATCTAGTTATTACTTGGAGCAAGAACACCAGACATTGACCAAAGTAACAGATCATTTGATAAATGCAGGTCATACACAACAAAATCATAATCAAAAACAGAAATTTATTATTAAACATCTATTGAATAACAGCTGACCAATCTGACCAACTTTCCAATCTTTATGTCTTTCTTGTAGATGTCAAAGTGACCAACTCCAGCTCACCTTCAAACTGATTTGAAGTTTCAACAAAGCTATTTTAGCCAATAAATTAAATCACGTTTGCAGAGAGGTATTTGACATAATCATCATCCTTTGTGTTAGAAAAAAAGTATAACATAGATATTCCAAAAGTATATTTTGTCTGTCAGTTACATCTGGGAATTGTGAAAAATTACTTCTAAATGTTCGTTTCACAGCTTTTTAAATTGAAAAAAAAAGAATCGCTTTCAGAAGGGAAAGCATGACGTTGACTTGCTGTTAAAAGGTAACGAGACCTCAGTGTCATTAATGTTCCTCAGATTCTAATCCAAACCGATATATTATTTTATAGGATCTCATTTTAATCAGGTTGACGGTTTCACAACTGCATTTGTACTTTTTATCTCTTTAAACTATATATAACATGCAGGTTGTCTATAAATTTAAAATGTCACATTTACCAATTCATTTTAATAATCTATGTTTCAGTGATCAGTAAAATGGACGCCATTAACAAACAGAAATAATGCTCCTATTTTTGACTACATATTTATTATTGAGAATAGCTAAAGCACAAGAAGTTAGTCACAGCAAGTGAAGTGATTGTGATTGTTTTATCACAAAACACATCCGTTTATTGTACCTACTACCTTTTCATTATTCTATTTGGCATGCAATAAACATAAAACAGTTCATGATTAAGACAAGTTGGCAAATAAAAATATTACAGTAATAAATCAAGTATTGAAGTAATGTTATAATATATATAAAACTTACATAAATTTAGTTTGGTATAAAAAAAACTGCAAGTAAAGGATCTACGGCAGAAGCTGGACAAGTAATTGGTATAAATACGTAACAGTTAAAAATAATAATGTCTAAATCTAACAAAACTTCATTTAACATGTTAATGATGTAAAATAAACACGTTAATTTTTACACTACTCATTAACATACACAGTATCTACTAACCACCAGTGAAACTCCAGACTTTTTTTTATAAAAACATATTTGTATTATATTTCTTGTATAACCCAGTAAATGCCTTTCACTTAATTATAAACATTTTTGTATAGCCCTGTTTTTCTCTTCTGTCCAGGATCCAAATTATCAATCTGAATGTTTGAAGGTTCCAAATGATATAAAAAATAAAATTAAAAGGGCTTCTTAAACAGCAGTGACTAACACAAGCTACCATTTATTCACCACTAACAGCAACTGAAAATTTAAATTTCATTTAAGTCATGATAACTTGTGTAATAAATATCATGTTGGAAAATGTAAGTACCTGTCTTGGTAGTGTGAGGAGAATTCCATCAAATAGTTGTTGTGTCTCTTTTTGATCTTTAGTTATATCTGCGTTTTCATGTAGACCAAACACCTGTAAACAATAAAAATAAATTATTTTCAATCCCCATGAACAACACTTGCAGATGCATCCAAATAGTGTTACTGATTAGCAACAGGACAGTATACCTATTCATATAGTTTATAAACCCACAACCTCATAGTATGAGAACCGTTTAGGTCAGCCAGTACTGCTAGAATAAAAATTGTTGCGCTTCAGGTTTAATCATTCATTCAGTATTTGCGGTCATTGACTATCTTAAAAACGCACCATAGTCATCGTACATGTACAAACAAATTTGCTACCTATAATAATTAACTTAATGGACTTCAATTTTAAACAGTTATTGAAATAAATTACAAATATAAAAATATAAAAAAAAACACATATTTACCTCTGGATGGGGAATCAAAGGAAGACTTCTTATGTAGGCAACATAGTTGTCATATGAACCTTTAGGTGGGGCATAATATGTTCCACTGTCTGAGAACTTGTGGTTGTCATCATAAATGACATTTTCACAGTAGAAGATATTGAGCAAACTAATGATCAGCCGGCGATCCATGTCATCTGTGACACGACCACCATAGTTACATTCTCCAGTCAGGTACGTCAAAGCTTCTAGTGGTGGAGTCGCGTAATCATTAATAAACATCTTAGAAAAAAAAGAAAACATAAAAATTCAGCATAAGAAGCTTTCAAAATTATTCAATAAATATTAGCTATGCAAAGTTAAAGTTTTAAATGATCATTTTCAGGCAAATACTTAAATGGTTAAGTTTAAAATGGAATTTGGATTTATATAAAGTAAATAATGACCTAAATGTTTGACGCCATGTATTCAAACATCATTGGGAAATGAAGTAAATTTCAATAAATCTGTAAGGATAAGGGCATGGTTTTATTAAAGTAAGTAGAACAGAACAAAAGATAGGCAATAAATCTTACCTCTAACTGTCTGACAGATATGCGTAGATCTGATTCGTTAAATTCATATGGTATATTCCAACCAAGTGCAGCAAACTTGCGTCTTTCTTGGACAAGAGCATGGAAAAAGCATAAACCAAACAGCAACTTCTCAAAAACCTTAAATAGAAACAGAAAGTATGATAGCGAACATTAAAAAAATGTTAAACATTCCGGTTGCGTGTAAAGTCAGTCCCTATAATTTTTATGATGATCACTTCTGAGTCGACTTTCTGGATTAATTCCTACATTTGCCATTTAAAAAAAATCCTTATTTAAAAGTGGCTAAAACTCATTCCCATGTTTAAAACCATCTCTTCTTCTGTCTTTTCTGCAGTAACATACCAATGCTTCTCTAAATGGTTTTAAGATATCAATTTATTTTAAAAAAAACAACGTTAATCTGTACAAATGTACAGAAACGGTCCCTACCTTTGGTTTATTACATGAATTAAAGAAGGCTGGATCAGAAATTGGATCATTGAGATAGGATCTCAATAAATTAGCTCTTAGTCCTGCCGGAGGTTCATTCGTCATCTTCACACCATTTTGTAGTACAGATACTGGGAAATCTGGCGACGGGTAGCTAGTTAACCACAGACGAAAACCTGGCTTGGTTTTTGTTGAATCAGTGATAACCTGAAATAACAAAAACAAAGTTTATGAAAGATTTGTACTTGCTTTATTTTATAATCGTGAGTCTTTAGTTATTGCGTCAGTTTTAGATTTGTAAATTAAATATTACTTATTTGTATATTACTTCCCTGGACAACAAAATTAGTTGGCGCAAGTGGTTGCGTCAAAAAGCTTCTTTATCCATTCGAACCATATCTGTTTTTACAAGATCAAATTCAAATAAAAGAATGTTAAAAATGTATGTTCTGACACACAAAATAATCAATTTGTAATGAATCAAAATTATCATTATATTTCAACTTATTTCTAACAATATTTGAAAAAATAAAAACTAATAAAAATGATAAAAATGGTATACAGACATCACAGTATGTTTAAATATCTATATCAACACAGGACAATCAATAATTTACCGTTTCACAAATGCGTTCAAGTTCTCCCAGCCATGAGGCAGCTAGGTGACAATTCTGTAATACGACCCATGTTCCCATTTCTACTGCCTCCATTATCATCTTCTCTGCAATTGGACCTTGACCTTGGCCTAAGGATATCGTCTGCAATGCTTTGCTGCCCATACCTATTTATTCAGCAAACAATAAAGAAAGTGATTAAGCGTAAAAGAACATGGTATGTTTATTAATCAAACGAGTTATAACTCCTTGATTAAATTTCCCAATAACAATGCAAAAATTGTTTCCCCCTGTAAATCAATTAGGATTTTAAGCAACAGGTAAGGAATATAAATACTTTAAGGAAGTGTGCAAATTATAAAAACATATGCCAATTTAATCATTCAACATGCTTTCGTAATTAAGCAAAACCTATAGGATATTAAACAGTTCATTCTATATTCAAACATACTACTGGCCAATATTAACAAGATTTAAAAAATGAAACTGCTTAAACTATAGTGATATATGATTCTATAAAGCAATGTGGTGGTAACAATTAAAGCACATTAAGCGAATGATTGCAATGAGAAGATTGAAAATTATCACATGTTTTAATGTCCGTCTTTACTTTGGATATAACCAAAACAATAACAAATTTTAAATATATTATTTAGATATATATCATCGTCTCAATTTGTCATTTTGATCCAAAACCTTCCCCTATTCTTCCCTGTTCAAATGCAGAGCTACACTGGGTGCCTGTGGTTTATAAATGAAGCTGAATGGTGGGTTACAAACTACATGGAATGTACGTCTGCTGATCTTTGCCTTAATATCCATTATATAATGACAATGGTAAATAACTTTAACATTTATTATAATATCCCCAGTCATTATCACAAGAATAGAAAATGACAAAACAAGAACAGTAAATGACAATCTGGCTAAAGACCGACTTATTAACACCCCGTTGCTTCTCTGCCACTAAATAATTGAAACCTTTTTTTTATTTTAGTGGTTAACTGCACATTACAACAATTAAGAAACATATGAATCAGATATTATGTGATGTCATTTTAAAATCAATCGAATATTTTTGACTAACAATTTTCCCGTGTTGCGATTGACGGCCAATAGGAAGTGACATTGAACTGACCTAAGCTCTATAGGTGATTTATCAAAATAAACAATGTCATATTGCGTGGCGCTAAATTTAACCTATTTTAATAGAAACCAATTGGCTTTACAGAATATTGGGTTCTGAGCCAACCAATCAGAAACAATATAACATAAAACAAACGTCATTTGTAAATTACAGATTCAGACAGCGTTCTTCCTGTTAAGATAAAAGGATAATTTAAAGTAAAAGGGCGTTTTGCTGACCATCTTATAAGCCTTTACACGCTTGAAAAATGGATTGAACGCCAAAAAATAGGAAAACATTACGAGACTTATATTTTGCCATATAACAAAACGTATGTATGAAGATAACAGTCATTATCCCAGTCTTAAAGACTCGCTAATATGAATTTAGCCATGTACATAGACTCGGACATTCACATTATACACATACAATCATTGTATACTATGATATAGACATACATAAAACAATGTTTTGTAAGTGTCTTACAATTGGGAATAGTTTTTAAATGATGAAATAATTTCGCATGCAACTTTAGAATCAATGTTATCGAATAGTGTTATACTTCTCATTGCTATATTCTGCCAACTTAAGCTACATAACATGTATGATCCTCAAGCATTTTTATTAAATTACATTACTAAGAAATATATAGCATAAAAATTAATGTAATTTTAGATACATATCACAATGGTCAAAATGTATTCAGCAAATTATAAAAAAGGAATTTCTAACACACATTCTACTCATAAATCTACAACACACATTGCTGGTACATTCTACATAACTTTGTTTTAATAATTCATGCATTGTCAGGAGTGGATTAGTATTATATGTTAATGTTCTCAACCACATGATGGGATTTGAAATATTTTTTTTCCGAGATAATTGTTCCATTTGATGTAGATCTAGATCAAGAAATTCATTGCAAAATTAAAGATCATGAGCTCACTCCATTTTTACAGAATAATAATTATAATTGTGAAAATGACCCAAAAATGGAAAAGCGTTCCAAGACATATAATATTTTTCAATTTATTACAGAGTAATTATTTCTCAAGTATCTTTTGCAAGACTTTCTGATGAAAACACCCTCAGTTGATCAATGCAAGAAAATCAAATTGATTTTTTATTTCGGCTTTTGGACCTCAGTGGAGTTTCTCTCATGAACCTGACTGGTACAATGAAACATCCAACATTAACATAATGTTGTTTATTATTTATAAAATACGTGAGATCACTTTGACCAATTTATATACATACAAGACAGACTATTCAACCTAACCTACAGTTCTTTAATGCTCAATTCAGAGCTATTTAAAGTTCAAAGTTCTTTATTACATTTAAGAACAAAATATACTAGTAATAGGAAAGCGTTTACAAAAATTGCTCCATCAATGATGTCACAGTTATGTGACTTTGTAATGCATTTTGACAACAATATGATTTTTCAGCAGAGAAAACTTAACATTTAAACCAGAATTCTTGATAGAGAAAAAATATACATAACCAAGCCACGTATTAAAGAAAATTAAAAAATATCCACTACTCCTCCTAAATAAGGTTGCAAGGGCAAAAAAAGCATTCTACATTACAATTGCTGGTGATATAATATATGCTCTAAAAGTGAAATCAAAACTAAATATAACTATACATCTTCCTATATATATATATATTGCTAAAACAAAATAACAACTAAATAAAAAAATTATACCCCTGTGAAAGCATTCCTTGGAAGTAAATATTCAATTACATGTTGTAATCTTTGATCTGATTTGTTCCAGAAATGACTATGTATGAACAAGAATGCATAGATAAACTTGTTTTCTTTTAATCTAAATCTATATCAGAAAATTTGGTTTTTTATTTATAGATTTCGCGTCTTTTTTTAGTCATTTTATTTCAGCACTGAAATACCAAAGAGCACGAAACATAACCTAACTTTGTTTGTCTTATTCTTTTACACTATTATGCAGAATATTTCAAGAGTATTTATGCCTTCAATGAGGTATGTCTAACAGTGGCTGTAGATTGCTGAAAGAAAGCTTGAAACATAATGTAAGGAAGACAATGATTGGTTCTCTTAGAAAAAATTAATTTTAACAATGTTAGTTACCTCTAATAAGAGGCAATGCTCAAAGGGGGATAAATTATAATCTATTGGCAAACTAAAAATTTAAAATAATGTACAATACTTTATATATACAGAGAGCATACACAAAAAGGCAATGTGCAAGTATGAAAGTATAAAGTGTTTCGTGGTACAGGGCTACATGTATATTTCCATATCTGGAACATACGCGCTAATCGTTCCTGATTGGCTAAGACTGCTGAGTCTGCGCCAAAAATACTGGAAACCCTCCGTCGACGATCAGCCTCGGTCATTCTTCCTTTTCCCAATTGTCCCCCAAGCGAGGACGGTTTAGGATTGAGGTCAATGTTAAGTTTGGATTTAGATCTTTCACCGTTATGAATTGTTGTTTGGCGGGAAAGTGTACGGGCTATGATACCTGGTGTAAAATGTATTTGGTAATCAACACAAGGTTAGTAATTACATTTAACATTATCATTATGTAAATTTTAAAACACGTTAGAACACAAACATGTGCTACAAAAACACAAAGTGCAAGTAAAAGAAATAAAATAAAATGCATCTGAAAATGTATCGATTACGATTTTAAAAATAAAAAAATATGAAATTAGATTTTCAAAAAAGTTTTTGATCATGATGACAGATAAATGTATATGACTTGCCGGGAAAAACCTAATAAAACACTCTAATTCCTTGTTACATATCACTTTTAATGTCACTGGTTCAGCAATCCAGTAAGACCAGTAATCAGTTAGACAGCATTGTTATACCTAAGTAATTTTTCAAATTCCTTTGGAAATAAACAAAACATATCATAATGTTTAGGTTTTTTATTGGAAATTAACATATAAGACTAATAATTCTAATAAAAACCAATTAATTCTGACTTTAAATTAAATGAAAAATAGCTTTGAATGGTTTATTTGTTATAAACATTTAACTTTTATATGACTTTGTATATTATACATGATTACAATAATATTTTATGATTATGATAGTTACTTTTATGTTTATATTTTGTAAAGCTAGATTATAAATTATTATTATAAATTAGGTATTAAATACAGATATACATGTTTGCAACTTGGCCATTTTGTTATATTTAAAATCCATTATATTCAGATGTACCTTTAATATATTATTAATTTGAGAATTTTGTTAATTTTTCAAGGTACTTAAAATGTTTAGTTTAAAACAATATCAAAATGTGACTACACAAAATTCTACATTATAAAGGTGCACAACTTTATGTGTTAAAATTTAATCCTACATTTTCCAAAACTAATTATAAAATAAAATGTTATTTCAAGTATTAAAAAGTCTACCAATAAAGAATTTTCAATATTCAAACATATTCCAAATCACATGAAAATATTTAAAAAAATCATCTGTACCCTTATCCCCAACATATTAAACAATATATATTACCACGAGAGGTCCTTTTAAAATCAACTGATGAAACACATGAGCATATTTTTTCATTCTAAATATTTATTATTTGACACCATACACATTTAAACTTTGTTAAACAGGAAGATGGATAGGTTTATATGTAAGGAACACTTTTTGCACACAAAAAACGCATATAAATCATTGGAATTTTTTTTCAATGATGGGAATTTCAGCATTGATGAAGGGTTTCAAAACTTGTCAGTTAATACTTATTAAGAAGTCAATCAATAAAAATAATAATGAAAAGCTTGATGTCTAAAACAAACATAAATCTTTAAACAGTGTTTATAAGAAATATTTTTAATTTACATGGAAAAGGTGATAAAAATGATATACATGTAAAAAATTTCAAAAATGTATTTATAAGATAAAGAAATTCGCATATTTTGTAAAACAATTCTAAATTACCTAAAACAAACACAGAATAACTATTTCTTTTTCACACCAATTCCTTAATAATAATAATAATAATAATAATAATAATAATAATAATAATAATAATAATAGTAATAATAATAATAATAATAATATAAAGTACATGTAGTAAAGAATAACCCAATGATCTAACACTATCAAAGTACAAACCTTTTTCTTCAGCGAATCTAAAAAGTCCGGCCATTGGGTCAGCACCAGGTGAGAGTACGAATATCAGAGGAGAGGCCGAGTTGGAATCTTCGTAACTAAGCGACAGGTCAAAGGTTGGAGGCTCAATATATTTCTGGCCCATTGCTTCCTGGATATATGTCTGTATAGCTGATACCATCTGAAATAAAATATTTTTTTTTTTCATACATTTCCCACATCAATATAATCACACTCCCTAAACATATCTTCCATAAGGTCAAAGATATTCGGGCATACTTGTGAACAAGAGTTCCTAAACTTTAACTCACACAACATCTTATTTAATATAATCTTTTCATATTAGTGATAAATTACATAAAATTAAATTTTACAAATTGAATACAAGCTCTTCATGAACATCAATTATACTCACCCGTCGGTGTTTAGAGACTATGAGTGTCGGATGCAATAAAAGAGATCAATTTTTATATATTGTATCAAAAAGGTCTTATAAGGTTTAATACTTATCAATGCCAAAAGGGTAACACCAAAGAGTCAATACCCACGGAGTATCACTAAAGAGTCGATACCCACCGAGTATCACCAAAGAGTTGATACCCACGGAGTATCACCAAAGAGTCGATACCCACGGAGTATCACTAAAAAGTCAATACCCACCGAGTAACACCAAAGAGTCGATACCCATGGAGTATCACTAAAGAGTCAATACCCACCGAGTATCACCAAAGAGTTGATACCCACCGAGTATCACTGAAGAGTCAATACCCACCGAGTATCACCAAAGAGTCGATACCCACCGAGTATCACCAAAGAGTCAATACCCACCGAGTATCACTGAAGAGTCAATACCCACTGAGTATCACCAGAGTCGATACCCACCGAGTATCACTGAAGAGTCAATACCCACCGAGTATCACTGAAGAGGCAATACCCACCGAGTATCACTAAAGAGTCAATACCCACCGAGTATCACTAAAGAGTCAATACCCACCGAGTATCACTAAAGAGTCAATACCCACCGAGTATCACTTAAGAGTCAATACCCACCGAGTATCAGTAAAGAGAAAGGTCAAACAGTCAAAGCAGGGCATTGAAGGTCAAATACACAGTTTTAGCTAGGTAAATTATAATATTAGGCATGCATACCTTGTCTGGTCTTAAACATCTTAAAACAATCAGTTTTTGTAGTTTTGACAATTTTTCTTCCCAGGGATCTGGCAGTAGTTCTTTCTGTGGTGTTGGGGAATCATATACCTTCTTCCAGAAAGTAATCTAAAATAAAATAATACTAACAGTTACTTAAACAATAATTACCGTAACAATAAAATTATTGCTATTTACCTAAGATATAATTTATGCACACACTTTCAGGTAAAGATTTTAAACAAGAAATAACATCAAGAAATATGACCTTTGTGCATCAACACATTATCTTAGTTTGGAATGAAAATTATTTATAAATCATCTATAGCTTAAAAAAGAAAAGAAAGAAAAGAAAAACACTTTTAATTAATGTATTTCTTACAGTATTCTTGTGAACGTTAAACAGGACATTGTTTGACAGTAGCAAGCTTTTTGATTTACTTGATATAATCAAGATTTCTCTGACAATCTATTGATTTTTTTAATTAAATTTATCAATAAGCTAACAACATTTTTGTTGATACATTTTTACAAACTTGATATTTTGCACATCAGACCTTGTTTTACATTTACCTTTTCCCTGAACTCATCCATAAATCCTTTAAATGCAGGTAGATCTGAGCACCTTACTATTTCTGACCATGATTTTTCTGACAACCAAGCAGGGGCAGGGTTGGGGAAGGGATTTTCTAAAGCTACACCTCCTGTTAGTAAGAACCGCCACTCTAAGTCATCAATCGTGCCTCTGAAAATTGTTTGTTCAAAAAAATAATTTCAGATTACGGTAACATTATCAACAGTAAAAAATCATGAATAATAAATTGGAATATGGTTAGACTCTTTACGGCTGGTAGCTTGGTTTAAGCAAATTTATTTGATACCTCAAGCATAGCTGAAAAATGCCGGTATAATTAAAGGGTTTTTTAGTATCATAATATTGAAACTGAGCTTCAAAATGTATAAATTGGTACAAGCTGGTCTACGTCCTATATTTGTGGCATATTAATCATAGAATACAAACAATTTTTTAGTCATTATATTAACTGACAGATTTTTTAAAATATTTTGGTTGAAAATAATTGAAATAAGTAGTTAAGGCGATATCCTGGGTTAAAGACATACTGGTGTCACAGCCATGTTTCCCGAAAAGACACAAGTACTGCTTAGTTCCAGAAAGCTAGATAGAAAGTGGTTCAAATAAGTTTAATCTTTCATTACAATCAAGCTAAAATAAATATGTTTAAACTAAAAAAATCTTTATAATGGGTGAAAGAGAATCCCAATATTACAAACTATCAACCGATCCATAATCAGTACTTACTCTGCTTTAGCTATGCCAATACAAAGAATGAAGGAAAAGAGAAGTTTGTCCTTCTCAAACAATGATCTACAAACATTCTTGTATATACTGTATGTAAAATGATTGTTCAGATTCCCTATTCTCTGCTCCAGTACTACTGATGGCTCACTGTTGATGATTGACTGAAATATATCAAAGTATTAATTTTTATGTACAATCAATAATAATTGACTTAAAATCTATCCAATATTATTATGTTCAACTTGTTTATTTTGGAAATTCATTGAACTGAAAGAATACACTTTATTTTTAATGCACATTTAAAGATCCTGTAACACAATTTTTTAATGGTTTTAAATCATAAATATTATGTTCAAATTAAGTAGGTAATATTGTAGGTTCCAAAAAGCATTATTTATAAAGATATTACCGAATGTAAATAAAGGGAGGTAATTAGAAATTTATTTTCTATAAAGTTTAAGTCAAATTTTACAATAAGAAATGAATGCATATATTTTAATGATTACATATAATATGCACAAATATTTGCAGTACATATTTTACATATTCTTCGATGTCTGAAAATTGTTTTATTTGCATTATTATGTTCATATATATAATTTCACTTCTCATCGTTTACCACTTTAATCACAACATACAGGATCTTTAATATCATCAGAGACTTTTACAATGCACTGTTACATTCCAAATAAAAGCAATGTCTATTTCAAAAAATTTAGCATGATTAGGGTTATAAATTTGTCTCTTACCTGTAGATATAGATTTATAAACCAGGTTAGAGAATACTGGTACATAGGATCTATGTTAGCCAAGTCAGATATGGTGAAAAACAAAATACTGCCGTGCTTCGCCACCTAAAATAAAAGACATGTTTTCATAGACGTTACTCAAAGAGAATTGTAACACATTAACTACTGGTTTTTAACATATTACTTACAAGTTTGTAAAATATTACTCACAAATTTGTAACAATTACTTTAGTTTTGTAATGTATTACTTACAGATATTAACACTTTTTTACAGTTTTGTAACATATAAATTACACATTTGTCACATATCAATAATATATGTGCATATTTTTTACAGGATTGTAACTGATAACCAGAGGTCTCTGTTATAACTTACAGATTTGTTACATATTACTAAAACATTTGTTAACATGTAACAAACACATTTTTTAACAAATTACTTACACATTACTAACATATTTGAAACATACTTCAAACTTATTTGTAACATATCATTTTCAGATTTTTAACATATTATTACATACAGGATTGTAAATATTATTTAAAGGGTTGTAACATATTCATAACATATTTGTAAACATATTACTTACATTTTTGTAACAAATAACTTACTAACATATTACTAACATACTTCTATCATATTACTTAAAAGATTGTAAAATATTACTAACATATTTGTAATATATTGCATATCAGAATTCAATGCAACATAATACTTATAGGTTTTTAGCTTATTACGTACAGCTTTATTTTAACATATTACTTACATATTTGTAACACATATAATAACTTACAGGTTTGTAACAAATAACTTACAGGTTTGTAACCATTTCTGACTTCATCAATCTCTTTCTCTGTATGTGAGGCTATTTTCTCCTTCTCTGATATTTCAAGGGAGAGAACTTTACTGGACGATAACACATTTATAGCTACTTCATCTTCCAGTATGTTACCCTGTATAAAATAAGTCAAATATTAACATACAATATTTAATCAATGCATTCCTATGATATAATATGATATGAGTCCATATTATCATGATGGTGGTTTTTACTTTTCAAACAAAATAATGTATAAGTTATATGTTTGTTGCTTCTCTGTGATCTATGATGTTTTCTTTCATCATATATAGTTGGTTGGTCTACTGAACTGGCTTTTCTGTAGCTGTGAAATAACTATAACATAGACAATACAAATGTTACAATTGTCCAATGAAAATCCTTATTACAAAACATCAAGTAAATAAATTACCTCCGATTCAGAGAGTACTTCCAGGATTCTATCTTCTATCTCTTTCAGTTGACGTTTATTGTGAGCACTTTCAAGTATCAGCTGATTCTTTTTCTCCTCTAACTCTGGTTTCTCCTTGGCAGCTACAATACCCAGTAACTGATCATCTAAACCAAGAGGGGTGATCATAAAGTTTAACAATGTCACCTGTCAAAAGAAAATGCAAATAAGTATTAAATTTATGCCAGTATCAGTATTATGATATTTGGACTGAATGATAGTTCTCATGACTAATGCAAAGACCTTAACTAGAGAGAGAGACTGGTTCAATTTTCAATGTTAAGCCATTATCAAACAAGTGGCTTTCAAGCTTATCAATTTCAGTTTTTTAACTTAACTTTATCTATAACCATAATTATCCATATGACAATCAAATATTGAATTAAACCTTTTTGAAGTGCACACCCAGAAAACATGTAATATATTTCAACAGATTTTCAATAACGCTTAGATGCTATTCCAAGCCTTTTTTGATGCTAATTTCTTCTAATTTAATATATATTTATGTATCATAAAACTTTTTTTAAAATATCTTTTAAAACATCTACCCGGTACATACAAATAAGTTTAGCAAGAAATATCAACATTTTTGTCTTCAAATATTTTCTAATAACAGGTCTTCAAAATAAGACTATTTTTTGTTTGTTTTCTGTTTGTTTTTGGCTTTTACGTCACATTGACACAGTGTAGGTCATATTGCGAAGTTCCAGCTTTACTGGTGGAGGAAGACCTCAGGTGGCCTTCTGTGCATTATTTCAGGCACAAATGGGCACCTGAGTAGAACCACCGACATTCCTTAAGCTAGCAAAAAAAAAAAGAGGGCCATGATGGCCCTGAGGTCGCTCACCTGTATATAGGCCCCCCCCCCCCCAACGTTGCAGGGCCAATTTAAACCCAAGGGCTTTTATTTGCACAAACTCGGTAGACACCCATAAGAAGATGTTTCATGCTAAACATCTAAGCTCTAGCTCATTTGGCTTTATTGAAAGAAGATTATTTTTAAGTTTTTACTATACACATATAGTTAAAAACAATGACACCCCTGGGGCCGGGCCAGTTTTGACCCCAGGGCTTTTATTTGAACAAACTTTGTAGACACTTACTAGAAAATGTTTCATGCTTAATATCTAAACTCTAGCTATTTGGGTTTTTTCAAAGAAGTAGTAAGTTTTTGCTATACACACATAAAGAAAATCAATGACCCCCGGGGTGGGGCCAATTTTGACCCCAGGTCTTTTATTTGAACAAACTTTGTAGACACTCACTAAAAGACGTTTCGTGCTTAATATCTTAACTCTAGCTATTTGTTTTTTTTTCAAAGAAGATTTTTTAAGTTTTTGCTATACACATATAAGGAAAATCAATGACCCCTGGGGCGGTGCCAATTTTGACCCCAGGGCTTTTATTTGAACAAACTTGGTAGACACCTATTAGAACATGTTTGATGCTAAATATCTTAGCCATAGCTCTTTGAGTTCTTTAAAAGAAGATTTTTTAAGTTTTTACTATATGCATATAGGGAAAATCAATGACCCCCCGGGGCGGGGCCAATTTTGACCCCAGGGCTTTTATTTGAACAAACTTGGTAGACACCTATTAGAACATGTTTGATGCTAAAAATCTAGGCTCTACCTCTTTTGGTTCTTTAAAAGAAGATTTTTAAAATTTTTACTATATGCATATAGGTAAAATCAATGACCCTCCGGGGCGGGGCCAATTTTGACCCCAGGGCTTTTATTTGAACAAACTTGGTAGACACTTATTAGAACATGTTTCATGCTTAATATCTTAGCTTTAACTCTTTTGGTTCTTTAAAAGAAGATTTTTTAAGTTTTTACTATATGCATATAGGGAAAATCAATGACCCATGGGGCGGGGCCAATTTTGACCCCAGGGCTTTTATTTGAACAAACTTGGTAGACACCCATTAGAACATGTTTCATGCTAAATATCTTAGCTGTAGCTCTTTTGGTTCTTTAAAAGAAGATTTTTTAAGTTTTCACTATATGTATATTGGGAAAATCAATGACCCCCGGGGCGGGGCCAATTTTGACCCCAGGGCTTTTATTTGAACAAACTTGGTAGACACTCACTAGAAGATGTTTCATGCCAAAATATCTAAGCTCTAGCTCTTATGGTTTTTTAAAAGAAGATATTTAAAGTTTTTTCTTTCGGTTGCCATGGCAACCAGAGTTCTGCATGGAATTAAATTCTTTGAACAATTTTTAAAGGTGACCACCAAAGGAACATTCCTGTGAAGTTTGGATGAAATTGGCTTAGTGGTTTATGAGGAGATGTCATTTAAAGTAAAAGTTTACGGACGGATGGACGACGGACGCCGGACGAAAAGCGATCACAAAAGCTCACCCTGTCACTTTGTGACAGGTGAGCTAAAAAGACTAATAATAAAGTATTAGAACATTTAAGTGAGCATTTACCTTAACCGAGACTTCCGGCAGATAATGAGGATTCCTCAGTCGTGATGTGATATAGAACCGGAAATCTTTACTGTACTCTACGACCTGGTCACCTATCCTCATATAGTCTAGACCACTCTGTTTAAATGTCTGCTTCAATAGTATAGGTTCTAGGATAGGGTCAAGCTCTTCCCCTACATTCTCTAGTAGACATGGGTTACCAAACTGAAAAATAGTATATCAAATGGTATTCTGGCATTCGTGTGTAAAATTTTTTGCAATTCCCTACAATTTTTTTTTGTTTCAAAATTCTTTCAGTATCAATTAATGACTAATCTTCCATTCATGTTTATAAACTACATGTATATCTGACTTATAACTAAAGATTAATATATAAAACAATTCACTTTCAGGAATTGTCATGTTCTGTAAAAAGTAATTTAGCTTACCTGTACACAATTCTCAAGTGATCTTGTAAAGTTTACATCAGATTGTTTAATGACCTCTAGTTTACTAGATTTCTCCATGTTTTTAACCCATTTATTTGCCTGACCCTGTGGATCTATCATCAACGGCCATCTATTAGCACTGGTTGCAATTAGGGCGTTGTCAGTGGAAAAACTGAAGAAAAAACATATACATGCAATACATAATTTCGTAATAAACAAAGTTAATTGCTAATGACTTCTGATGACTTGTGTAAGATTATACTATATAACACCTTAACTATCACATAAAATTCCATACACAAAATTACACTTATTGTACTACAGTCCAACCCCAAGTGCCTGGGACTGAGTATTTACTTCGAATGATCGATGGGTTCGAATAATCGTAATCGGAATATTTTGATAGACGAAAACTACTCCACTTTGACCAATCATAGCAAAACAACCATTTACAACATACTTACTTCCTGTAATCAATTGAGGAAAATAAATATTAAAGAAAAGATGCGTAAAAATTATTGTATTGACATTGAAGACATAAATACTTGCATTTTATTCTACATGATGTATCGTTTCGCTTCGCGCAAAGCCTTGATAATGGCCGTGTTGTCACTACGGTATTTACAGCTAAACTCTGGTATTTTCGATTAGGAAAAAGGCTCTCATGTAGCGTTACAATTAATGAAAAAAATGTGTTGGATGTTTTGACAAATTTACATATACGGTATGTATGAAAATAATTGCCGTCATCTTCAAGCAATAACAGTAACAAAATCGGACACGGTGCATTGCTTTTCATTTTCGGTAATTAAAGTTGATTAAAGAACACACAAAGAGTTATTATCATGACTGTCTAAATGCACGCATGACTGTTGATATTTTTCACATGTCGACCGGTCAGCGAGTGGATCTGCGCCAATTAGTCTGGCTTCGAATAATAATTAGACTGGCTTCGAATAATAGGTGTGAAATTCTTTCATAATTGTTTATTCTGGACCGAAATTTTACTTCGAAAAATAGGAGGTATTCGGATAATGCATTTTGAATAATACGCTTGTATTTATATAGAGATAAAAACGGGACCACCGATCTACTTCGAATAATGCCTGGTATTTGAATAAAGGGTTGTCGAATAACCGGGGGCGGACTGTATTACATAACACTTCTACAAAATACAATAACTTTGACAAAGCTTGAACCTTAGCATGCTAGTGGCAACTTATTCTATCAATGCAAACAGGTCTGAGCAATTTGATTATTGTCTGCACTGTTTGCTTATTCTGAGTCAGTACTTATTTTGAAATTTTCTTTAAATATGATGAATGTTTTTGTCTAAATTGAAAGATGTATAAATCCATTTAAGATATATAGTTTTGTATAGCATACTGCACAAAATATCTTAAACGGATTCATCCATCTTTCAATTTTAAGCTGTAGACCTCCAGATGAGCAAAAATATTTCAAGAAATTCAATCTTTAGAAAAATGTAAAAGTTAAAAAAATTCAATATTTAATTAATTATTTTCATGTTATGTGCGATTAGTGACTGATTTTACAGTATAAATCACTATAATTCTACTGCGTTAGTAACGCAGTAAGAGGTGTTTATGTATATTTTGACCTCTTTTTTGGTAATTAACTTGGATTGTAAGTGTCGTTTGCAATGTGTAAATTGCTTTCTTTGTTTACTTCACAGTATTTTACTTTTAAATACATTTTCATGAAAAGTAGCATGAATCTGGAGGCATGCTGCTTTAACACTATGGGTTAAAAATAATCTTATGATAAGGAAAAGTACGAAAAATCTATGTTTTCCTTCTATGAACTTGACATTGACCAAATGTTTCTGAAACGAACAAAATTCAAGTAAGACAACGACATAACAATCATCAAAAATACAAGTCTATAAATGATGATGCTATGACAGAAAGTAAGTATAAGTTCCTTATACATTCCCTGCGACATACCTGTCAACTGGAAGTCCAGCAATCTGCCAGTCTCGAATCTTGACAGGATCACCAAGTGTTCCTGACAGGGAGAACTGTTCTGACAGAGGGATACCTTTCTCCTCACACATAGTGTACCACTCTTTCAAACATTCCTGTTATAATATGCAATGTTAAACTTTAAACAATACTTCCACATAGTACTCATCAGTATATTTAATTGGGGCACCTATAAAATTTCAAACTGATTTAGTAAGAGCTAAGAATGTAGGATATAGGCTATTATGCAAAAAAAAATGTTCAAATGTCTTAGAAATACCCTATACTGTTTAATAAAAAACACTTTTTGACTGATGAATCGTAAATTCGAAAATTGTCATCATAAAAGCATCCAATTACTTCAAAACAAACGTGAGATATGATAACTGCATAACAAATAGAAACATTGTACTGGTGTGACAGTTTGTTTTATTTTAAAGGACTAGTAATCTTAGGATTTCTGCCTATGTGTGTTGGGGAAAGCCTTTTTTTCCTTGAGCAAGAAACTCTACACTCACTGGTAAGTACTGGTTAATTGCCAAAAATTCAAGAATGTTCCCTTAAATTCAAACCTTCATACATAATCCAACTAAAATAAATTGTGTATATAAAGATAGAAATAGTTCTCTTTTGAAAGGTCATAAATTCCCTACCTGTCTATATGCTAGAATAAATGGTCCTAGATAAGCTACCACACTAGCTGACAATAGAACATCACCAATTATATTGTCATATGTCTCACTCAAATCCTCAACATTCTGAAATATATCAATTTAATATACTAGTATCATTACACTGTGTGTCTGTAACACCGATTTGCATTGGGAAATTGTGATGTATTTAATACATATTTTACATGACAAACTTTTAAATCTATCAAAATAAAGTAATTTTTAAGTATAAGTCATTAATTCTTACGACTTCTAAATGGTAATAAGGCAAAAATCAAATGAATTGTTTGTTATATTAGCTTTCATCCTGTGACAGCGAACTGTATGAATTAACCCTCATGTATCTTCCCTCACCTTTGTCCATCTTTCTTTCTCCCCACCTAGTCCACTGATCAGTTTTTCTGCTCTTTCTATCTTGACCTTGGTGAGTGCTATATTATCCTCCAAATTCTGTAATTGAAATATTCATCATAAAATGTAAATTTAATATTAATATTTTTCCAATAAAAATCATTTAATGACACATTTTTATTTGTTTTTGAATTTTTAATCAAAATATTGTTGTTATTTCATAGTTGTTCTGTTTCATTATCAGATTTTAACATATATTTGGACACATCTTGGTGGTTGATCAGCCTCACCAGCTTTAATGGATAACTAACCAGTAATTACCAATTTCTCTACATAATACGAACAACTAATCACGAGTAAGTATGATTTTATGAACTCCAAGGTGAATTAATCAGGGTGGATAATCAATGATAACGGGAATGCAGATTTTTAAAACAACAACAAACATATATCCATGGAAATCACAAAAAAGCATACCAATGTAAAACAATGAAAACTGACAAGAACAAGACAAAGTCAATCAGAACAGTATACTTAGAAAAACTTAATGATGAAAATAGGATTTATATATCAGATTGTCACATTTGAAACTTACACATTAGGAAACTTTTGGCTAAATACCTGTGACTCTTCTTGTTTTCTCTTCAGATCATCCTCTAACGCCTGCAGCTTGTCAGTCACAGCTTTAAGCTCCGCCCTCTTCTCATTCAGTTTAGCCATCTGCTCTGCAAGCTCCGCCTCCGCTTTGTCTAAACTCTCCTTCTTAGGAGCAACAACCTTTGCCACACCGTCATACACATCAATTGCACGAACCCATTTACACAATCCCTCACAAGCCGAGGATGAATTTTTAATTAACACAGGATCAAAGTCTGCATTGTTTATATAACCTCCCCTTATCTTTTTCATGATAGCAGCAGGTATGTTGTCTTTATCATATTCCTTTAAACTATCCAAGAACCGCATATCACCCAACATCTGAAAAACACATAATGCACAAATTTTGAAAATTTAGTTTGGATATAATAATGTGTGATACCCTGATTTTTTTATTTCTTTTAAACAAAAAAATCAGTAACCAGTTCAATATGAAATACAGTAAACAGGTCTATAAAAACAAGCAATTATCATAGTATTGCAAGCAATCCATAAGTCCCCTACCGGTTAGAACTCCATCAACATTCTGAAGGGCCATTGACCATTCACTAATGTTTCAATTTTCTCTATTTTAAGTAAACTTGTTGGAAAAGTTCTTTAAAAGTGATCACAGGAAACAGTTTTTATGAACAGACAGACAGACTGAAGGACACTCTAAAGTTAAATGTTGAAACATCCCTGTTACCAAAATATAACATTTTAAAAGCAAAATTCTTAAAGAGGAGATAACTCTTGAATTAAAGATGCAATTTCATAAAAATTTTCAGCTCTTTTTGACTAATCACGAATTTTGTTATATTTGCCATGTTTTAAGCCTATTTGTTGCCAAGGCAACTGATATTTTTTCAAAATAGGAAGAACAGATAAGACATGCATAATCTCAAGACTGCTATCTACCCATATGTCAAGTTTCATAAAAATATTTCCAGTACTTTTTGAGTTATCACTGGATTCAGTTTATGTGTAAAATTTGCCATATTTTCAGTCTATGTGTTGCCATAGCAACCAGAATTCTCAACATAGGAAGAAAAGAAAAAGACGTGCATAATCTCCATACTGCCATCTACCCATAATAATGTCAAGTTTCATAAAAATATTTCCAGTACTTTTTGCTTTATCACTGGATCCAGTTTATGTGTAAAATTTGCCATAATTTCAGCCTATTTGTTGCCATAGCAACCAGAATTTTCAACATAGGAAGAAAAGAAAAAGACGTGCATAATCCCAAGACTGCCATCTACCCATATGTCAAGTTTCATAAAAATATTGCCAGTACTTTTTGCGTTATCACTGGATCCAGTTTATGTGTAAAATTTGCCATATTTTCAGCCTATTTGTTGCCATAGCAACCAGAATTTTTAACATAGGAAGAAAAGAAAAAGACGTGCATAATCTCCATACTGCCATCTATCCATATACCAAGTTTCATAAAAATATTTTCAGTACTTTTTAAATTATCGCGGGATCCAGTTTTGTGGACGGACGGACTGACGGACTGACAGACAGACGGACGGACAGACGGACAGACGGACGGACAGACGGACGGACAGACGGACAGACGGACGGAGGGTAAACCTAAAGTCCCCTCCGGTAAACTGGTAGGGGACTAACAAGCATACATATCATGTACAAGAAGTGTTTATGAACATTTTGAAACTTCAATTTTGACATGAATATTTCAATTTGATATGAAGTTTTTAAGAGCCAATGTGTCCATATAAGTACTGCATATATTTCAGTAGAATCAGTATTCTGAAATAAAATTATTATTATATCACTTAAAACATAAGAAATCTCACTTTTTTGGCAACTGGCCAGAAATCTTCCACCATTTTACCACTAGCATCTGGTTTCTTCTCAGGTTTGAGCCCCTTCATGATACAAACAGCCTCTAGAACCAGCCTGACACCAGCTGGTGGATTTGTCATGGTCTTTACAAGACTGATATCGTTCTGTTTCAATGTGTCCAAAGCGGCAATAGCAGCATTCATAGCCGGCATAGCAATTGCTAGTTTTTCTTCACATTCAACCTGAAAATATATATGTGAACTTGGTATATATTTAGACACAACTTCAGATAAAAATCTTGCTTCGTAATCCAATGTAATCTGAATGAAATCTAAATGTCCTGAAAAAATAAAAACCTGTTTTGTTTTGTACAAATTTGTTATTCCATAACATAATCTATATAAATCAAGAATTCAATATTTTGTCCAATTATGCTACAAAGCTGTGATGGGATACTTTATCTAATAGGGAAAAAATCACGTTCTCTTTGTTATTTTGATTGAGATGCTCTCCCAAACATAGCATTTATTAATTGTTACACTAATATCATATGACACTGTAAAACATATTGTCTAACAAATTTTACATTAAATAATATTCCTGCAAACACAATTTTCTATAAATAACATCAGTATAGTTTACCTTGATAGCATGAGATTCATTGGCAGCCTTATTGGCAGCTGCCTCGTCTACCTCTACTACTTCTTTAACCTGTTGTACATCTATACTCTCCTTCTCTATCACAACAATAAGCTCTTCTGTCTCCTTACTGGTCTGTATCAACTGTGGTCGTAACTCGATCAACTCCTTCTGCATAATGTTGATCTAAAGAAAAAATGTAAAACAGTATTGTCATTTGCCTTTGGTATATGTTTTACTTTAAACAAGCAATGTGATGAGACTATGCCAACAACTCTTAAAAACCTCTCAGTATAAACACGTCAAATGTTCAGTTGTTTAATTTGGATATTTTTAACTGTTGTTTGTTTGTTTTTTGTTGTTGTTTTTTTATTGGGGGTAGGGGGGTTACTTTTGCTTTTTTAATTACTCCGTCACAATTTAGGTTACCTTATTTGGCAATTTTCTGCTATATTTGTGGGAGAAAACCTCAGTTTAGCCCTGTTTTAGGGACAGGCAGGCACCTACATAAATATATTTGGCAGCAAGGGAAATGTAATTTTATTGACCACAGAGTACAGCGATCACAGAGGCCACTCAATTAAGTTTTAAGTCACAACAAATACAACATCCAACAATACTTAGGCCAAGTAAAATTGTTCATACAATATTTGTTTGTAAGCACAAATATACCTTTGTACAGTGATTAAATCTTTGTAAGCTAGCTGCTTGCCTTACAACATCTATATCACTGCTATATATCTGATTCAAAACAAACATCAGTCAATAACAACTACATCATAGACATCGGCAAAACACTGACCTTAAACTACTAAAATCAATAAAATTTCCAGGATACATATATAAAAGGTACCTGTTGCTCTGAAAAGTCCAATTTCTCTAGACCAACTTGATATCTGTTCTTCAAGGTAAGTAACTCTAGACGTTTCTTGTTCAGTAAGTTCTTGAATGTTTTTATCAATTCTAGGTATGAGGTTGGGGTCACATAATTCCTTCTTCTCATTGTGTTGTAAAACCTGTCAATTGATAAAATGAAAATAAACACATATTTTCAAATCTTATCAATACTACTTATCATATAGCAGAAACTATAGATGTAAGCAAAAAACAGGCCATGCTCCCTTAAGAACACATCTCTGTCCTCGGAATATTGTCTTTATTTTTCCTATCACAAAACATTTACATCAACACAAACAAATACCACATATTTCAACTAGCGTTGATCAAATCAAAACAAACATCATAATACATATTACATGCTATCAATAAATCACTTTTAGTGCTTTCAGCCAAACTATGCGATTGAATTTCAAAAACTAGGAATGTGTCCATAGGACATGGATGCCCCAAAATTCCACTATTTTTCAGTGTAAGGACTGACAGCATGAAGGACAACAAAGGATTGGACATTGAACAGAATTAGAAGTATTTTGGACAAATTTGAGCTGGTAAAGTCTCTCAGCATCATAGCTGAGAAGCCAGGAAACTTTACAACTGAGTCTAAAAATACACTTACCTTTCGGACAATGCTCGGACACTCTCATGGAAATGTTTACACATGACCACAGTTTCTTGTCTTACTTCATTTGTCATTTCTACATCATCAAGGAACTTGTTGGCAACAAGCTCTAAAGCATCCTCTGGCCACGCCTACATTGACATATTATATACAAGAATATAAAATACAAACATAATTTAAATGTATATCATTTAGTGTAAATGGACAGATTTCTTAAAGAAACAATAAAACATCCAACAAGAGTAAAATCAGTGTTTTAAAAAGACATCACCTAATGATTTGGCATGGTAAATGACCACATAACGATGTTTAATATTAAGTGCGTACAATATAAAGAAATATGCAATGGCTGAAATAAATTGAAAACGAGCAACAATATTTAAAAGATATCTTAATTACCTTAAACCAATCTATGGTACAACAGTTAATAAGTGATGGAAACATTCTGATTCTGGCTCTAAATGCATCCCCTATAGGACTGAATGCTAGCACAACATGGAGATTACGTCTAACACGCTCTATAAACTTGTTGTACATGTTTAGCGGTGTCCTTTCCAATGGAGAATTCTCATTCTGACAGATTACTTGCATCTAGAAAATAAAATACCAGTTTGTCAAAAAAGAGTAATAATTAAAAAATCGTTAAGAACAATAAGTAAATAACAATAGTTCTGTTCATGTTACAAAACAATCTGTAATTATCAAATCAAATAAGACCAATTTGACTATAAAAAGAAAATTATCAGTTTTTACCTTTTCAATAATTTCCAGCCGGTCTTCATTATCGTAAAGATTGGGTATATCACCAGTGTTCAAAATCATGTTCACATCTTCTAAAAAGGCAACATCCTGCAAACAAAATACTAATTATGAATAACAGATTATATATATATAATAACTGAGTAAGACCAATCAACTGCTTTAAAATCATTGGGAATATCAAAGTAAGATAGACAAAATATATACTAAATATTAAAACAATGCCCTATATGTGTAAATAGTTTGCAAAATTATGCTTTAGTTCTCCAGCCCAGTTCCCCTACCACCATTCCAAATGGCATAAACTTTATAATATATATGTACATATTTAAGTAGGCAACTGATTAACAGACCATGTTACAGTTTTCCACCTTTTTTTCATTTTTAACCAAGAAGTAATTTCGTAGTAGTCTTATAATTTATATTAGCTATTATTCATGCCTGTATAAAATATCAAATTCAATAGCAAAGCATCATGGTAATTTACCTTAATTTGGTGATCTCCAAACAAGAAAACCATAGATATTCCCTCATCTCCAGCTTTTCTCATCATTTTACGTAGATCATCCCGCCATTCTGGCATGTTGTAGTTCTTTGTTATCTCTATACTGAAGAGCTCAAAGTCAGACATAAATGCTGCTAATCTTGTAGCACTTTGACGTCCACTTCCTCCGATACCTATGATAAACATGTATGAAATATTTTACTATAACAGTTGCTATATAAATGTACTGATTTTGAAAATGTAAAAAAATGTATAAATCAATATTTTCAGCTGCACTTCAAACTACCATGTCTGCTTTTTTATTTTTTTTCCCCCAATTCTTTATTGCAAATGGCATTTTTGGGGGAACTTTACATTCGCTTTTAGGTATGCCAGATGTTGTTATTAAAATCAAGAAACATGCCAGTGTGAATAGTGGGATTAAAATCCTATGAACTCCTGTTCAGGAGTCTGATGCTGTATTCCTCACCATGTTTCTTTCTTTTCTGTAGAATGATTTTTTTTTTCATACTGAAATACATTTTTTATTCTTCAAACTTAAAAAGAAATAGTATGTCATTTTTGTCCAACATTTTTTCTGTTAAGGAGATTTATAAATCAAGAAGACGATCATATTCTCTTCGGAAAAAAAAACCCTCACCAAGACAGGGTTTTGGAGTTACCAGCTAAAATTGTAACATACCAACAAGTAGACAATGTCCGTTTGGTTGTTTGAGAACTCGACTGATTCTAGATATATGTTCAATGGCAAATCTAAACATAACAAGATCCATCGGAGCTTTACTCATCATATTATATTCCTCTAGGCATTGCTCTATCACCTGTAAATAACAATCAAACCAATCTTTATGCAGCTTTATGAGAAAACATTTCCTTTACAAACAAAATGTGTAAATAATACGAGCAAGCAAACCATGCCAAAAATGCACATGATGAAAGATCATATATCAAATTTTAGTTTACTTAATTTAAAGGAGATTTGTGCAAACTCTATGTTCATCAGATGTGTTTATCTTTACCAATGCTTTTCAGATTCCATGTCTCTATACATACATATACTCAATATTTACTTTGTAATAGAACAGTTAAACATAGTCATAATCTCAAAAGTTAAGCATCATACTTCTTATTATGTTGTTTCTGTTGTAATGACATTACTATTTACAAAATCATATGCAGTTAAAGACATTATTTCAATAAGAAAATTTAATGACAATTATTTGAAGTACACATTTCTGACCTCTCGTAACTCATCGAGGTTCTGTATCTCATCGTACAGTTTCTCTGACTTCCCCTTGTTGAGATAATCTCCAAACAACAGACTGCGTATATTGTCATCAGTAACCTCTGCCTTAGGGTCACCAGTGATGTGTGAAAATAAACTTGGCATCTTATCCTTAAACTGGCTCTCTACACATGTCTAATTCGATACAAAAAATTACAATATTTTGTTGAAATTATAATTCAGTAAAGAATGCAAAATCAAATTCTAAAATTTCATAATAAGCATAATCTCTAATTGATTAACTGAAGAAAATACAACTGATTTAGAATAATTATACAAATCTATATCAAATAAGAAATAAAATTTCAACTAAATTGTAAATTACAATGTTAAAACAAGAGGGCCATGATGGCCCTGAAGTCGCTCACCTGTGTATAGGCCCCCGGAACGGGGCAAGTTTAAACCCCAGGGCTTTTATTTGAACAAACTTGGTAGACACCAATTAGAAGATGTTTCATGCTAAACATCTAAGGTCTAGCTCCTTGGGTTTTTTAAAAGAAGATTTTTTCAAGTTTTTTCTTTACACATGTAGTTAAAAACAATAACACACCTGGGGCAGGACCAGTTTTGACCCCAGTGCTTTTATTTGAACAATCTTTGTAGACACTTACTAGAAGATGTCTCATGCTTAGTATCTAAACTCTAGCTATTTGGGTTTTTTCAAAGGAGATTTTTAAGTTTTTGCTATACACATATAAGGAAAATCAATGTCCCCCAGGGCCGGCCAATTTTGACCCTAGGGCTTTTATTTGAACAAACTTTGTAGACACTCACTAGAAGATGCTTCGTGCTTAATATCTAAACTCTAGCTATTTGAGTTTTTTCAAAGAAGATTTTTTAAGTTTTTGATATACACATATAAGGAAAATGAATGACCCCCGGGGCGGGGCCAATTTTGACCCCAGGGCATTTATTTGAACAAACTTGGTAGACATTCACTAGAAGATGTTTCATGCTTAGTATCTAAACTCTAGCTATTTGGTTTTTTTTTCAAAAAAGATTTTTTTAACTTTTTGCTATACACATATAAGGAAAATCAATGACCCCCGGGGCGGGGCCAATTTTGACCCCAGGGCTTTTATTTGAACAAACTTAGTAGACACTCATTAGAACATGTTTCATGCTAAATATCTTAGCTCTAGCTCTTTGGGTTCTTTAAAAGAAGATTTTTTTAAGTTTTTACTATATGCATATAGGGAAAATCAATGACCCCCTGGGGCGGGACCAATTTTGACCCCAGGGCTTTTATTTAAACAAACTTGGTAGACACTCACTAGAAGATGTTTCATGCCAAATATCTAAGCTCTAGCTCTTTGGGTTTTCTAGAATAAGATATTTAAAGTTTTTTCTTTTGGTTGCCATGGCAACCAGAGATCTGCATGGAATTAAATTCTTTGAACAATTTTCAAAGGTGACCACCAAAGGAACATTCCTGTGAAGTTTGGATGAAATTGGCTTAGTGGTTTATTAGGAGATGTCATTTAAAGTAAAAGTTTACGGACGACTGACGGACGACGGACGCCGGACCGACGCCGGACGAAAAGCGATCACAAAAGCTCACCCTGTCACTTTGTGACAGGTGAGCTAAAAAGATTAAGTAACATATTTATTTATACAGAAATTACAAGCTCTAAATGAAAAAAGTGCTTGATCTCTATTTGTTAAGAAAGAAGTAAAATAATATCAATCTATATTAATGATTCATTCACTAGGAAAAAAAATTTGCAAGAAAAAGAACTGATTTCTGTTTTGATACATGTAACAGGCGAAGAAGAAAACTGTTAACCAAATATTTAAATCCTAGATTTGACACTGAACAGGATCATTCATGAAAGTTTTCAAAACTCCAGAGAAGAAAATCATTCCATGAAAACAAGAGGGCCATGATGGCCCTGAGGTCGCTCACCTGTATATAGGCCCCCCAACCCCCAAACGTTGCAGGGCCAATTTAACCAAAGGGCTTTTATTTGCAAAAACTTGGTAGACACCCATAAGAAGATGTTTCATGCTAAACATCTAAGCTCTAGCTCATTGGGCTATTTAAAAGAAGATTTTTTTTAAAGTTTTTACTATACACATATAGTTAAAAACAATGACACCCCTGGGGCCGGGCCAGTTATGACCCCAGGGTTTTTATTTGAACAAACTTTGTAGACACTTACTAGAATATGTTTCATGCTTAATATCTAAACTCTAGCTATTTGGGTTTTTTCAAAGAAGATTTTAAGTTTTTGCTATACACATATAAGGAAAATCAATGACCCCGGGGCGGGGCCAATTTTGACCCCAAGTATTTTATTTGAACAAACTTTGTAGACACTCACTAAAAGATGTTTCATGCTTAATATCTTAACTCTAGCTATTTGGGTTTTTTCAAAAAAGATTTTTTAAGTTTTTGCTATACACATATAAGGAAAATCAATGACACCCTGGGGGGGGGGCAATTTTGACCCCAGGGCTTTTATTTTAAACAAGATTGCATTTGAGAAAAATGCTATGCCACCGCATTAATACAACACTAAATAGTAGTGTAGGAACAGATTTTCTTTGTTTCTATACAATTTTGAAGATTGTCATAATGCATAGATCCCTGACCTATCTAATTCTTATTATCAGATTAGTGGTTAAATCTGTTGTTAACTCAATAAAAGATCAGAGTAGGAATATATCAATGCACTTGAGTCTAGTGAATTTGGTGGTGAAGGTCATATTTCACACAGCCTAAATTTCATGACTACATCAAAGGACAACATAGTAAGACACTTTGTCAAAATCTAGGTCAGCTGAAATCAAAGTTCACTTAACATCTTAATCTGTACACATGGTTCAAATTTCATAGCTGTACATCAAAGGACAAAGAAAGTAGGTCACATCATCAAAATCTAGTTCACCTGATATCAAAGTTCAATTTTACAACTAAAACTGTGCACATGGTCAAAATTTCATTGCTGTACATTAAAGGACAAGAAAGTAGGTCACTGTCCCCTTGGGCAAGGCAAAATTTTGGACCCAAGGGTTTAATTCAAAACAATCTTGATACAGGTCCACCAAACAACATTTCAAGTCAAATATCTAAGCTGTAGCTTTCTCCTATTCAGAAAAAGATTTGTTTTTATTTTCTGTTTTTACTATGTGAACATAATGAGAATCACTGCCCCTGGGCAGGGCCAATTTTAACACTAGGGCATAATTAAAACAACTTTAGTAGAGAACCCATAGAATATATTATAGAGCAAACATCAAAGCTCTATGCTTGTACCTTCAGACAAAAAATATTTCTTTTTTTTTTTTACTATATGTACATGGTAAAAATCAATGACTCCTGGGGTGGGGCCAATTTTGACCCCAGGGCTATAATGTGTACAATCTTGCTAGAGGTTCACTACATAATGTTTCATGCAAAATATCTTAACTCTAGCCTTTGTAAATTTAGAGAAGGTGATTTTTTAAGTTTTTACTATATACATATAAGGAAAACCTATGGCCCATGGGGCGGGCTAATTTTGACACAAGAGGCAAAATTTGAACAACTTTGGTAGAGTACCTATAGATGATATCATTTAACAAATATTCAAGCTCTAAGCCTTGAACCTTCAGACAATAAGATTTTTTATTTTTTACTATATGTATATATTGAAAATCAATGACCCGGGGCAGGGGCAATTTTGACCCCAGGGCTATAATTTGAACAATCTTGCTAGAAGTTCACTTCACAATGTTTCATGCAAAATATCTAACCTCTAGCATTTGCTAGAAGAAATTTTTTTTTACTATAAAGTTTTTTCTATATACATATAAGGAAAACCAATGACCCCAGGGGCAGGGCCGATTTTTGTCCCCAGGGCTATAATTTGAACAATCTGAGTAGAGGTCTACCAGACAATGCCTTATGCAAAATATCTAAGCTCTAGGCCTTTTGGGTCTTTACAAAAGGTATTTTTAAGTTTTTACTATATGTACATATAGTGAAAATCAATGACCCCCGGGGCGGGGCTGATTTTGACCCCAGGGCTATAATTTGAACAATCTTGGTAAGGGTCTATCAGACAATGCCTTATGCAAAAATATCTAAGCTCTAGGCCTTTTGAGTCTTTACAAGAAGTTATTTTAAGTTTTTACTATATGTACATATAGTGAAAATCAATGACCCCCGGGGCAGGGCCGATTTTGACCCCAGGGTATAATTTTGAACAATCTTGGTAGAGGTCTACCAGACAATGCCTTATGCAAAATATCTAAGCTCTAGGCCTTTTGGGTCTTTACAAGAAGATTTTTTAAATTTATTCTTATAATTCCTTTTGGTTGCCATGGCAACCAGATTTCTGCATGGAATGAAATTCTTTGAACAACTTTGGAAGCCCTTCACCCAAGGATCAATCCTGCCAAGTTTGGTTGAAATTGGACAAGTGGTTTTTCACAAGAAGATTTTTTTAAGTTCACTATATAATCTATATAACACACACACCACACACACAAACAAACACACAGGTGAATCGCTATATGCCACCGCATCGCAGATGCTGCGGTGGCATAAAAACTTGCGTAGACACCTATTAGAACATGTTTGATGCTAAATATTAACCATAGCTCTTTGAGTTCTTTAAAAGAAGATTTTTTAAGTTTTCTACTATATGCATATATAGTGAAAATCAATGACCCCCTGGGGCGGGGTAACAATTTTGACCCCAGGGCTTTTATTTGAACAAACTTGGTAGACACTTATTAGAACATGTTTCATGCTAAATATCTTAAGCTCTAACTTTTTGGGTTCTTTAAAAAGAAGATTTTTTAAGTTTTTTACTATATGCATATAGGGAAAATCAATGACCCCCTGGGGCGGGGCCAATTTGACCCCCAGGGCTTTTCTTTGAACAAACTTGGTAGACACCTATTAGAACATGCTTTGATGCTCAATATCTTAGCCATAGCTCTTTGAGTTCTTTAAAAGAAGATTTTTTAAGTTTTTTTACTATATGCATATAGGGAAAATCAATGACCCCCCGGGGCGGGGCCAATTTTGACCCCAGGGCTTTTATTTGACCAAACTTGGTAGACACTCACTAGAAGATGTTTCATGCCAAATATCTAAGCTCTAGCTCTTATGGTTTTTTAAAAGAAGATATTTAAAGTTTTTTCTTTCGGTTGCCATGGCAACCAGAGTTCTGCATGGAATTAAATTCTTTGAACAGTTTTTAAAGGTGACCACCAAAGGAACATTCCTGTGAAGTTTGGATGAAATTGGCCTTGTAGTTTATGAGGAGATGTCATTTAAAGTAAAAGTTTATGGACGACGGACGGACGGACGCCGGACAAAAAGCGATCACAAAAGCTCACCCTGTCACTTTGTGACAGGTGAGCTAATAAAAAATACTCTCATTATGATTAATAATTCAGACTGGTACCTTAATCATGCCAAAGAATGTATCCCTATCTGTCTCATCAACCAGTCTATCGTAAAACACTCGATAAACCTCGTGAATCCACAACCGGATTATCTTCTGTGATCCTTCCTGACCTTCTGGTACAACTTCGGACTTTAGCAACAACACTCCCTGTAAAAATTTAGGTTTAGATGATCTTTATCATATTGTTACATCCAATAGCAAATTGGGACAATACAATTTTAATGAAAGCAATGAATTTAGTTTCGTAGAAACAGAAAATGAATTACTAAGAAGCAATTTAGAATTTTAACTTCTTTGTGATTAACTTTAAAACAACAGCTTAACCAATACTTCATATAAAATATTTCCAATGACATAAATATATATATTTGAAAAGCAAACAATCAGCAAGTATCACCAATTCCAGCAAATGGTAAATCATATTGAAGTCAATGCTTTTAAATCATACTTTCAATTAGACCTTTTAATTAGTATTTGATGTCACCAATGTATGATAACATAATTTAAATGAATTACTATAAGAGTCATGACAAAACGAACATAATACGTTTGCGACAAGCATGGATCCAGACCAGCCTGCGCACCAGCGCAGTCTGATCAGGATCTATGCTGTTCGCTTACAGACCCTATAACAAGTAAAGAAACTGATAGCGAACAGCATGGATCCTGATTAGACTGTGCGGATGCCCAGGCTGGTCTGGATCCATGCTGGTCCAAAACCCATTATGTTGGTTTGTCATGGCGCGGCTCTAATACATTAATTATTTTCTATTGTAGCATACCTGAACTACACGAGCAAAGTCTCTTAGATTGAACACATAGTGAGAACGTGAAGGTGATGGAAGGAAATTCTGTATTGCTTTCTGATATATGTCTAATGTTGCTGTAACTATGATCTGTAAATAAAATATTGTTTAAAACATAAGTTACTATTATCTTAGTTTAACATATATATAAACAATCTTTATCTATCAGATGGAAAAACAATTGAATATCATCTACATCCATGTCTTGATTAGTGTTAAGGTATTACTTTTGTATAATATTTAAAATCTTTGCTATATTTTTTATGTTGCACCTACACTAATGAGATCAATTAGCATGTAGCATGGAAAACTCAATGTGTCCTTAATTTTGCATGTTTATTCAAACTTAATTAAAATGATTTAGATGAAGGACAATCTTGATGTTTTTTCTTACCCTAGACCATCTTCTATGGGCAGTTTCATAGGATCTAAAATGCCAGTCGACTATCGGAGAGAATATGTTCTTCATTGTCTCCTCATCAAATGATAGAATGCTGACCACATTGAAATGCCGGAGAAATCTCGGTGTGACGTTGTTCCGGCCACCACCAGGTGGTCCCATAGCACATAGCATACTGATGTCAACCAGGTTTAATATACTTGTGTCTTTCCTGAAGTGAAAATAATATGAGCCGCGTCATGACAAAACCAACATAATGTGTTTGCGACCAGCATGGATCCAAACCAGCCTGCGCAATCGCAATCCATGCTGTTCGCTTAGAAACCTTATTACAAGTAGAGAAACTGATAGCGAACAGCATGGATCCTGATCAGACTGCGCGGATGCGCAGGCTGGTCTGAATCCATGCTGGTCGCATACGCACTATGTTGGTTTTGTTGTGACGCAGCTCATATTTTCATTTCCTTTTTCAGTTAACATGCTTCATAAAACATTCCGATTCTGATATAAGAAAAAAGTATAGAAATCAAAACGTAGAGGTAAAATATAATATTCATTATGCATCGTAATTTAGATACATTTTGAATTGCTTTATTCCTAGCATCTATAAACTGATTTATCTATGAATTAAGTTAACAAACCATTGGGTTAATCTCTAAAATGTGTGAACACTTTCACTACCCAGGAGATAGATAGTAGGAATTCCAATTCACTACTACCATTTAAGTTTCCTACAAAACCCTTTTTCAACATCAGGTTATGATTTTGTCAGTTTTGTAATTTGTTTCAATAACTTTTTTTGATTATCTTTTATTTTGAGACTGGAAATACTATTATCATTATATCAAACTTCATGCTTATTTCATGGAGAAAAAATATTCTTTTGTTTTGTATGTAGATGTATTATGTGTCTGAACATTGAAGCATCATAATGCTTGTTATAGTAAATTCCCGCAACATTTAGAAAATTGATTTCCACAAATAAAAATCTCTATGGCCAAAAGATCTGGTAATGTATAAGCAAATATATATCAGTTGTCAAACTTTTTCCTAGAGAAATGAATTTCTTGTATAATAACTAAGGATCCAAATAGTACCTGTCAAACCAGTAACCTTGGTCTATCCACTGTCTCAGCACTTCTATCGGGGGTTGAGCCCCATACTTCTCCTTGGCTGGCATATTTAGATCATCAACAAATACCACCAGCTGTTTACCTGGGTTTGGACCATACACTCCTTTCTTTCTCCTGCAATAACAGATTAGAGTTCAAGGTAATTAAAAATTGAGTAATTAATTAGTTATATATATATATTACTGAATAAGATAGGAAAATATTCGCTCCCTAGAGGTGTCACTAGGTTGAATTCAATTTTCTCATGAAAATAATGTAATAATAATTTTTTCTTGCCAAAATATGTTTGATTACAGAACTTAATATTTTTAGGCATTGACAAAACCATTTTGTGCATCCTTTTAAATATTGTTTCATTTGCATATATACTCATAAATATCACAAATCATAAAATTATCATTGTCAACAAAATACTCTGTAGTACGAGGGATGATCAAAAATAAACCGGACTGTGACTGTCAATTAAAGAATTTTTAACGTATCACTTATTGTTATATATCACACTTAATCGGAAAACAATATATGTAAATTGATGCTATATCTAATCTGATTACGCAAATAGCTTGTCCGTAACAGTGAATTTAAAATCCATAGTAACGCACACCCGGCGCAGTGCGTAAATTCGCCTTGACAACAGGCGCTTTATGCTGCGTATATTTTATTACATGGCATATTTAGATTTCAAAATACGCCAAAACGTCATGAACCATATCTTTGACGTTGTCAGTAAAAATGACTTCATTTAAACCATATTTATATTTGCAATCACAATTCAAACGTCACTTGTTAAAGAAATACTCGCATTAAAACTATGTTGTCGGAATGTCTCGAAAATCGATCAATAAGAAAAAATTAAGGAAAATCGATCAATAAGGAAAGAACGGAATATTGTGTGATTACAGGAGCTAGAAGCTTATCATCATCCATTCTATTACAATACAATATGATACCCACTTGTACAGAAAAATATATATAGGCAGTGGATCCGCCGTATCAAAAACATGACTGTACCACGTATTGGCCTACTCCTTGAATGAGTAAAAAGCTGCTCCGTTAAAGACAATACGCTATGACGTCGTTAACGTCAATTTTAAAGTTATACCATGCGCCGCATTGCTTTATATGTACATGCCAATAACAGCATAACTTTTTTCTTTGTTAATATTTCTTGTTGGTATTTTTTGTATCATTCAGGGAATACATTCCGATTTATTTTCCGTGTATTTTTATGTAAATTTATTTAACAGGTAAAGAACCATTTACAAAGTCCGGTTAATTTTTGATCACCCCTCGTATATACTAGAAAGAATGACAAAGACTTTTACATTTCTCCATATGTGTTGACATTGTCAAATACAAGATTCAAAGTACAGGATGGTTATATTATAGAGTTCAATCAAGGTATATGAAATAATGAAATATTTAGAATACTTATCATATGAATTGACATGATTATGTCTGTGAAAACTATAGAGCATAAATTTCTGGAAACTTTAAAAGAATTCTAGAAAAGGAGATTCCTTAGCAATAACAAAAGCAACAAAACTACAAGAAGATGGTATTCTTAGTTTAATTGAAGAGAAAATGAAAAGTTTAATACCTCTCAGGCCTCTTGGCATTGTCATTAAGTAAAAAAATAAGGACAATCATGCCTTTTAAAGGTATCAACATTTTACATGAAATTTTAGAAACTCAACCTGTCAAGCTTAGAAAATATGATGTCTTGTGTCTGGTTGGCAGACGTTTGTGCGGAGAAGTTCACGTTATTAATGATGTATTTATCCTTTGGTAATGACAGTAGATAGTTGTTTGTGATCGCGCTCTTTCCTGTTCCGGTGGGACCGACAAGAAGTAACGGTTTGTCATTCAACAGCAGGCGTTCCAGGAAGTATTTCTGCCTCTCCGTTTCCATGGTGTTAATTATCAGCTCGTTAATCTAAATATAGATTTATTTTATTAATTTTAATAAAGTTATGTAACAGTTAAAGCTAGGTAACATACAGTTATATACTTTAAATATACTACTAAGAAATGTTTCTAAAAATAAATATATACGTTTATAGAAATTGAATGATAGAAATTAGTTCAAATATACCAAGACATTAGAAAGATTTAAATACAATATATAGAAAATATGTTACTTTTATTAAACATCATTAGAATATTTGCAATAAAATATAATATTAATGTTATAGGTTTTCATTATACATGTATGTACACATTATACACTGATTTGTATAATAATGCAGTTTTATGATGATATGAGCCGCGTCATGACAAAACCAACATAATGAGTTTGCAACCAGCATGGATCCAGACCAGCCTGCGCATCCGCGCAGTCTGATCAGGATCCATGCTGTTCGCTTACAAATCCTATTACATGTAGAGAAACTCATAGCGAACAGCATGGATCCTGATCAGACTCCGCAGATGCGCAGGCTGGTCTGGATCCATGCTGGTTGCAAACCCATTATGTTGGTTTTGTCGTGAGGTGGCTCATATTATTAATCAAAAGCTTAGTGACACACAATGAATAATTTGTTATAACTGTATAATGACACTTAATGAACTGAAATATAATTAGAGGAGACAAAACATAAAAAAATGTACAGTATCAATTATTGGTACATGTACTTGTTCATAGTGACATCTTATATGTAATAGTGTACATTGTATATTAAGTCAGAAATAATGACATGGTCGACAGCAAATAGACAATATTACTATGGCTTGAAAAAAAATATATAAATTTCACTTATTTTAATAATGAAAATACACAGAAAAAATCTATACAAATGCAGTAACATTTTATCATTATTACTTATCATGTATGTTTGCAAAAATATACTTACTGATATAAGCTTAGTTCATGTAAGAACAAATATTTACCATAATTTGTTTCGAATGTGTTTATTTATATTTGTTTCATGGTGGCATTCAAAAAGCATGGGATAGGAAAACTGACTATAAAATCAAATCAAACTAAAGCAAGCTCTCCACAAGTCAATTTTGCAGCAACAAAATAATCAACTGTTTATTTTATATAAACAATATTGGTCACCAAAATGAATAAATATCATTTTTATTTCCTCCCAGTACATTAATGGCTAAACATAAACAAGATGCATGATATTCGATTATATGACTATCATAAAAGATTGCAGTCCAGTCTGGAAATGGTACTCTACCATTGGCTAATTTCAAACTTCAGCACAGAATGAACCAATCAGATGCCTGGTGTTTGAGACTGGTTCACAGTATTATAATTTTCAAATATTTTCCTACAAGAACATGAACATCTTACCATGATTCGTAGCTCTCTGTCCCTCTAGTGTTAGTAACAGGGTGGGCAGATCAAATGCAAAGTGAAAAACATAAAATATTAGTACATCTCCTTCAAACATGTAATCTTAAAATCAGTAAAAAAGCACACAACGGTTAGTTTAAACAAAACACACAAATCTGTGGAAACCATAAAAAATCATTGTGCAAATTAGTAAAAATAATTATATTAGAAATCTGTGAGAATTGGAGAAAAAACCCAATGGTGCCAAATTAATGAAAATGAATTAAATTTGTATTTGGTGAATTAAATGAAATGACATTGCATCTATGATAACTTAATGGTAGACTATTAATTATGTCAAATATATAAAATTAATACAATTGTTATTATTTATTAATATTTTCCATTGCAAATTAATCAATAAACACAAATATTAATCAATAGTGATATTAACATTGGTAACTGATAAGGGATTGTTAGTTATATATACTACTGTTATCTATCTATTGTCTTATCTAGATATCTATTAAGTTAAAGATGCAATTATTGTTTAGTGGTTAGGTTAATAGTGCATAAGTGCAATATTATTATTAATTCTATTGTGCACTTGTTATATGTATAAACAGCAGTACAGGCTGGATATTATATGGGTTTTCATTTTGTATGCTTTTTACAATACAAAGGAGTTAAAATCTAATACATTTACAATTGTGAAAATGATAATCTGCAATTGTAGACATTTTGTGCTTTTAAGTTAAGTTATCAATGTTTGTAATTTCTGATCTTAACCTGAAAGTTTCATAAAATTTCAGATAATTCTTAATGACATATAAATTTAGCCTTTACAACTGTATAGATCCAGTTTGGTCAGGCTATACACTATAGGTATTTTAATTTATGTATTTTGACATTGAAACCCTTTACACTTTGACCTGACTCTTCCAAATTCAAAACTTGGCCAATCTTTTCCTCAAATTGACAGCAGGTTACATGGTTAAAACTATACAAAAGAGAGTTTACATCAAAATTGTTCAATTGTAAACATTAGAACTTTACACAAAAAAAAATGCTTTAAAGTTCTTGATATTATTTTTTGCATTTAAATGTGATTTTGTCATATTTTCACAAGACTTAATTTAGCTAAAAACTTCAAAGACTTGCCGGTGAAGGCTTCCTGTAAGCATTATTCACTAAATATTGAAAAACTATAATTGTGTATTTTCTATGAAATCCTAACATATTACTGATAAGCCATTTTTGCTAGGCATATGACCGTACAATCTAGAGTTCATAATAATTTGTTACATTAGCTTAATATAATAAATATATTAACAATATTAATGGTTAGTAATATAATTAGAGGTATGATATAAATGAGAAAGAGAGCTATGAATATTCATATAGTTCATGCATATAAAGTAGTAAAACATGCATAAGCATGACTATAATATTTACATAGTACATGCACACTAGCATGCAGCTTACATATTGCATGATACGTTTATATTACAGGGGAGAGGTGTGTTTGACAAAAAAAAATATACGAATCTAAGGGACGCTTTACTAAACTATTACTAAGGGTCACCATTTTAAAACTAACATTAAAAATTTTTTACCCAGTCATGCACCCAACCATATGTATACTCTATCAAATCATACTAACTATAAACTATCAAAGACACCTTATTCAAACATTTCTGTATAACTTTTGTCTTTTGCTCTAACTGTTTTACAGTCATTAAAGTATGTATTTTATCTCTGTTGACTATATTTATCAAATAGGCACGAAGAGTAGAAAATTCAATTTAAAACATAACTTTAGGGTTTTGAACACATGTGGTCAGTAATCCATAGATAATTCCAATAATAGTTCAACATGCTAACCACTAGCTGCCACTCTTAACTATTGGTTGCTTAACTGTAGCATTTTGATACTGAAACCCCTAAAAATATCAAAATGAACTGCTCCAAATTCAAAGAGAGATGATTCCATTAAAAAATATCAGCAGGAACATTATTAAAGTCTTAAAACTGAAAACAAGAGAATTATTACAGGGTTACATAAGAATGTAGCTTTCTAAATGTCCACATATCTAATTGTTTCTACTTAAATTTAACACTCATTCTTACCATTTCTTCAGTAAAGAACATATTTTGTGGTTTATCCTTTAGATTATAGAATATTTTCTGGTCATTATAATAGCATATCAACTTACCCACTGATTAACATGACTTGTTAAGACTTAATTAACTAGGGATTTGATTTTATATTGTGCCACCATTACCATTGGAATCTTTTTATTTTATCAATATTTAAGTACTTTGCCTTAACCTATTCTAAAATTTCGTAAGTCATGGCATCATTTTAATTATCAACCTGTGTTTCTTCTAGGAAAATTAAATTTAAAAGTAGAGCTGTAGTGACAGATACTAGTAGATTTGTCTTTTTGCCGTCAGTATTAGTCAGTCAGGTCAAGACTTAACCTTTAAGACTATATTATATTCAAATTTTCACTTCAATATATTCAAATTTTAACTTATTCAATTAATCCATACATTGATTTGTGCACTGCATAAATTGTATTTACTTGTTTTCTTTTTTCTGAACCTTAATTATCTAAAGCTCATAGTCACAACTGTTAACAGTTGCAGATTGCAGATCCCCGGGCCTGACCTCCTTGCTAATAACTTATTCTGACCTGCATTTCTGTTAATTGCACCCATATTATAAATTACTTAACCCTTTCCCCCCATGAGCATATTGTGAAAAATGGCCGTTTTCACTGAAAAGCCTCCTGTTACAAGTTCAAACTGCTATGAAACTATGAAAAATGCTTCAACACTAATCAAACTTGGCACAAATGTTGACTGGACCATTGCCTTTGTAACAACATGCTCAGTCTTAAATTTCCTGTTACCATGGCAACGAGGGGACATCTCAAAATTGCCAAAAATCACTATTTTGCCTGGATTTTTTCCATCAAAATTTATTTCAAAGTGCTGCAACTTCTCAAGGGATTGAGATAGAGTCAAAGGCTTTTCAGCGCTGGTTACACGTTACATTATGATCGCCCTGGGGTCATTTTTAGCCTCTCACAAGTCCAAAATTTTCTTGGCCATGAGGGGGACTCCGCCCTCCTTCAAACCCCCCTAACAGAAGGGGGCACATCCCCCTTCTGGCAACCCCCTGATGTATCTTTTGGATGGGGGGGCGGCGCCGAAAAAGTGCTCATTTTTTTTAGCAACATTTCTCAAACAAAAACATGTGTTTGGGGCCCAAATAGGGCATTTTTTCACTATTTGAGGCCTAAAAAAAGGGGGGGGGGGGGTCGAAAGTGCATTGTTTCGCGTATATATGAGGTAAAGGGTTAACAAAAAATGATGAAAAACTTTAGAATCACCTGAAAACTAGTTTTTCCATGTTAACATGTGGTCTTTCACCTAATTTTGGTGAAAAATTGTTGTTTTGTAACATTTATAATTTTTTTAGTTAACCCTTTCCCCCCATGAGCATATTGTGAAAAATGGCCGTTTTCACTGAAAAGCCTCCTGTTACAAGTTCAAACTGCTATGAAACTATGAAAAATGCTTCAACACTAATCAAACTTGGCACAAATGTTGACTGGACCATTGCCTTTGTAACGACATGC